CTGCACAGCCTTCTGTGGGCAATGGGAGCCACTGGGATTTTGGAGGAGGGCACAGGAACTGACGCATCCGGCCGCTGGAAGGAGCCAAATGGGGGAATCCACTGCCTCCAAAGAGTGTTTTATTGTCGCCCAGGTGAGCTGCCCTCGGGTCCACGTGGGGTTCAGTCCTGACCTCTTACTCGGGGCCCCGCCCGCAACTCTAGGCCCCGCCCGCTCACTGAGGGCTCAGCCTATGGGCTCGTTCCTTCTCTCCCCTAGACCCCACCCTGCTCCCCCCCACCTTCCCCCGCCGCCGCTCCTATGGCCGCGTCTAGTCCTTCCTCACCATGGTACTCGGCCCACTTGTAGCCGCGCACGATCTCTTTGCTTGGGCAGTCCTGGCCATTGGGCTTGGAGTCCCGCACAGAATGTACTCGGATCAGCACGTACTTGAAGACACCGTCTGGATCGATGTCCACATCCGGGATCTGAGCAAGGTCGGCCTCCGCCATCTTTCCGCAACGCGCAAACCGGCCCCTCCCACTAATGCTCAACACACTTTCTCCTTCTTCCCTCTGATCAGCGCGTAGAGGGCGGGCGCAATCTTCAGGGTGGCCAATCACGCTATCCGGAGTGCTTTCCATCGCTGTCCGACTAACTAATGGAATCGTAGAAGCGACGTGATTGACCAATCAGAACTTAGGTGATCACGGACAACGCGGTTGTTTTCGTTAAGGGATAGGTTCAACTACGGACGGGGAAAGGCGATTTAATTTTCTCAACCAGAAAACGGAAAATTTCTTTGCCTTGGATAGAGGACCTTGCATGCACGAGGATTTGCGGGTTTCGGGGGATCTGTGTGTAGGAGGACTGTTTTTAGGTTTATGGAGAAAGCCTGTCACATTGCACACAAGAGATGCTTATTCAGTTCATTCCCCGAACAATATTCCCAGAGTCGCTGTGTTCAAGACCCTTTGCTCTGTGTGAAGGGAGACTCAGACGGCCCAGGTCATAGGAACACAATCCCCCTTCATTTTGCAGACATGGAAACTGAGGCCCAGAGAGGGCAGGTTTCTTACTCAAGTTCAGTTAAGTACTAAGTGCCAGAGCCCACTAACAGAAGCCTGATGTCAGGGTAACTCAAGGCTGACTCTCAAATTCAGTTTTAGGAGGGAGCACACATAGTGACATCAATATACAACGTGCGGTAGAATTAAGAGAGAAGTGTAGCCCTTGTTTGGGGAGGATAAATTGTTGGAAGGAGCAGTGTTTGGGAAGGCCTCCTAAGGAAGGTGGTCTGTGAGCCAAGGGATGCTATAGAAACAGTGAGGTACATTTTGGTTGGAGCTTAAAGTGTGAAAAGATGAAAATTAATATTTCTATTATATCGATTTTACAATGTAATTGTTTTTTTGGGGGGGGGGGTTAGACAGTGGGGTTAGGTAATTTGCCCAGAGTCACACATAATAAGCATCAAGTGTCTGAGGCCAAATTTGAACTCAGGTTCTCTCAACTCCAGGGCCAGTGCTCTATGCACTGTGCCACCTAGTTGCCCCTGCTGTATTGATTTTTATAATTTACTTAGTATGTGTCTGAACTCTTCTTACTCAGGGATGCAGTTTTCCCTCTGAGTTAGTTTAAAGGCGTGGTTGAAAGGGAATGTTGTTATCATTCATGCTGTTAGTCCCTGGGACTTCTTTTTGTTATCTGTAAGGCCCAAACAGCTTAACCTGGTGCCACTCCCCAAAAGATGTCATCTGTACTGGTCTGTTTTTGTGCAATTAGGGGAAGTTTGATTTCCCCCAAGAGGACAGCAAACCTGGTGGTACTGGTCCCCTAACAAAGATTACAAGAGGCAAATGAGTCCCATGAAACAAATAACATTACTTAATTGTTAGAAAAGGGCATGATTAGCCATTCCTGAATGCCAACCCACTTTTTCCAAGTATAGCCAATTGCAATGTTCCAAAACTACCTAGACCCTCTCCATTCCTGTGTGTCAAGAAAGAAGGTTGCCCCTTCTCATTGGAGTTGTTGGTCTTACTGAGGTGGCCAGTCTGACCTGCTTTGTTAATAGTTATACAAATCATTGTTAATAAACTAATTTTGCTCAGAGTATGTACCTCAGTTTACTTTTATTGCATTTACTCACCAAAAAAGGCTGGAGGGAAAGGCAAGGTTGGGGCCAGATTGTGTAAATGCTAGACTGAGGGGTTTTGGTTTTATCTGATTAAAAAAAAAAATCAGGGAATCATTGAAAAGTTTTAAGCAGGTATAAGATAGGTCTATATGGATAAGTGGAGTCATTAGTCAATAGGAGTTGGAAGTGGAAAAGACCTTAAAGATCTAATCCAACTTCTCATTTTAAGGAAATTGAGGCATAGAACAGAGAAAGATTTGCCAAAGGTAGTAACTATCAAGGTCAAGTTTTGAACCCCAACTCCACTGCTCTTTCCATGCTGTATATGTGGGTGGGTGTGGGGAATGGGTTTAATGGAACAAACACTATGTGGATACAAAGATGCAGTAAGATACTATTTCTGTTCTAAAGGAACTTACAGTGTAATAAGTGGGAGTAGGGTGGGTGGGAGGGCGGATAATATCTGTGCTTTGTGGTGACTTGGGGTAGAGTCTGGTAGAAAACACACTAGAAGCCTTGATGTCGACTGAGTTTCAGGGGGCCTAGATTCTACCACCCTCCTTACTTTCTCTGAGCCTCAGTTTCCCTAGGGGGAAAAGATTTCACTAAGATTTCCTCCAGCTGTGATATTATTTGCCTCTTTTCTTTTCCCTCAGTCCATCAAGTCTCCCTCCCACCCTTCGTCGGAGAGTATTGGATGGGATTGCTGTCCAGGGTACTGTCTCCCCGCCTACCAGTTCTTTCCCAGCCCTAGCAAGAAGAAGCTGCAGTCAAGTTACATTCAAGTTCTGTTTTTATGATTATCTGAAGAAACTCCAACCACCTCTGACATAATCGTTCCCTCTCTCATGGAGCCATCCTCCCCCTCTCGGCCACGGAGAACCCTGTTCCAGGGTGTGAACAGGTCGTGGCATTCCACACATGATCCGAAATATTCATGCACCGAGCATTGCCTGGCCTGGAGTTAGGGATCCTGTGGCTTTAGGGAGTGCATGGGGAGGGGAGGGTTGGCTATAGCCAAACAGAGGGGTGGCGAAGCGGGGCCAGTGATACCCCCGGATCCTTGGTGCAACTTAAATTTATGGAGGAAGGTGACAGGGAGGGGAAGAAGCAGCGAGCCGCCTTGCAAACACACGATGGTGCAAAAGAAACCAGGATTGAAGAGGATATACGCGCATAAATCTTTTCTGTGCCATTCCTTCCTCACCAGTCGTGGGGATGAAGGATAATTTTCCTTTCCTCTTCCAGCTGGATAGAGTGGTAGGAGGGGGGGGGAGGGAGAGGGTCGCAGCCAAGACGTAAAGAGACTGAGTGGGGTGAAGGCCAACTGTGCAGCTTAGACAGAGGGATCTGAGTTAGGTCCCCAGAGTCCACCCCACTTCATTATTCATTCCCTAGCCAAATACACTCAGGATTCCAAGCCACTCCTTGTCTCAGAGGTCGTGATGCTTCTCTAATTCAGCTTTCTCCCCACTCCGCCCCTAGAGGCAGCCTCCATGATGGAGTTCAGGCCCAAAGCAGTCTGTCCCTCCCAGGAAGGAGAGGTTAATGCAGATTTGAGGATGAGACAGGAGAGAAGTGCTCCATTGTCCCAATACAGATGTAAAGAAGAGATTTGTGGGGGGACACACAAGAACAGTGAACCTATCCTGGGACCATGTTTCGGAGGGGGCAAAATGCCCTGTTTCTTGTGTGCCTAAGAATGAAAGATACCACAGGGGTGGGAGGGGAAGAAACTTGGGATCCCCAGGGGGTGAGAGTGAAGGAATGACCAATCTAATTGCATCTTTTGGAGCACAGGAATTAATCTGACCCCTGGGCCCATGTCACTCATGGGAAAACTGAAAATAATGGCCTCAGAGAGGCCTGTTTCTAGAGGACCCAACAAGATCTAAATGAAGGCATATGGACCTTGGCACAGAAGAAGTCTCTTTGTGTATGCCTATCATATGTAACTTTTCAGTATGACTTTAAAGGCCCTCTTCATCTTCCCTCACTCCATTGCCTGCTATAAACTTTCCACTCCACTCTAGCAAAGCAGCTTGCTGTCTCAGCCCTAATACTCTAACTAAAATGTCACCTCTGATTCCCATCTTTTACTCTCTGGCCTGTTCTATCTCTGTACATTTGTTCCTGATGTTTCCTGATTTGAAATGCTTTCCTCTTCTTTTTCTTTAGTCCATGACCCCTTTGTTTGGCCTAAATCGACTCAAATCCCCCTTCCTCCTGAAAGCATTACCTGACTAATCTCACCCTATGCTGATCTTGTGATATTTTCTTAGCACTTGAGTACATCCTTAGCATTTATGTTACTATGTGCAGATTTTTCTATTTTCTTCTTGTGTCATGGACATTAATAGTAGGATATGTCCCCCTTTTCTCCACCTGATTACAACACACATTTCTGAGTGAATTTCAGATCCACAGAGTAACTAGTGTGTACTGCTTGCCCAATGTCTTCTCCTCATGCCCCACTACTCTCAGCCTCTCCTCATTACTTGCCTCTTTTCCTTTTTTCTCCCCACAGCCTTGCTCTAATTCCTGCACCTATCTCTCCCTCCCTTGATTCCCTTCAAGAATCTCTCCTTCCCCTATTTTTTTCCTCCTCCCAATTACTTAAACTGGAGTATCTTTGTTCTGCTGAACTTAGATATTCCCACCTCATTTCCACTCCTCAGAATGTTTCCTTTTGAGGCTCAGATCATGTGCCCCCCCCTTTGGTAAATAAAGCCTTTCTTGCTTTGCCTGCCTTTTATCTTGTTACATATTATCCCTGTCTCCCTCCCTACACCCCCACTTCTACCATAGAATATAAGATCCTTGAGGTCAGGCACTGTTTTGTTTCTTTGTATCTACAGCACCTTGAATACAGTATGTGCTTAATAAATATTTGTTGGTCAAATGTGTCTGTGCATATATTTTTATATGCACATATACATTCTTCAGTAAAATAATCCTCTGTTGCCTCATCATGACATTCAGAAGACCCATATTAAAAAGGTTATGCTAGCAGAATTCAAGCCTTGGCTGGGGTGCTAACATATTGTACAACTTTAGGCCTGGCAATGGCCTATATACATCTGTCATCTGAGAACCAGTCTAGCTAAATTTGGAAGGCCTCATCACCAGGAAGTTGAGCATCAGGTGAAATTTTTTTCAGTCACAGCATCTCTTGAAGACTGACTACTAAGGTATGAAAGAAGTTGTGATTTATATCAGTTGTGAAGTCGTACTGATAAAATTATTGGTTCTAATATATATGTATATAAATGTATTCTAATAAATATAATAATATTATGTGTGTGCTCATCCTAGCTCCATAATCAGACTAGGAGCTTCCTAAGATAGTAGGGACTATGTAATCTTCTTCCTCTAATACACAAGACAGGGCTTTGCCCAAAGGAGATATGTTTGGTACATGGTAGGGGGTAGAGTTGGGGCACAGACTCATCTTTCATTCCAGAAGCTCAGGGAAAGTCCTGCCTGCTTTCCTCCAGCCATTTAGGCAGCAGCATTTCCTGTGTCTAACATGGCATCAGTGACCTTGTCTTCCCTTCATCATCCTCTCTTGGGGCTAGAGAAAGGAACTGGTGTTAAGGGGCAGGAACATGGCTTATCATTGGATGTTAGAGGTCTATATAGCTCTCTTCCCTCCCAAATTCTTTTCAAAGATAATGAATTCAAATAGGTGACAACATACCCAACCACATGAATCTAGTATGTGAACACCTGCCCACTATCTTGGGGCATAGACTCCTACTTACAGATGTGTACACAAACATAAAAACAGGCACATTTATCTCCTCCTCCAGACTTGGCAACATTTTTCTCCAAAGAGAGAAAAGTCGAAGGTTAGGCCCTGCTTTCCCCTTCTCCCAATTCCATACAGAAACACACACACACACACACACACACACACACAACACACAACCTCTATGAGACCAGTGTTTCTGTAAAATGAATTGGGAAGGGGAGGGGTAGGGAGCTAAAATAACAGAATTTGAGCATCTAAAACCTCTACTGATACTGAAGTTCTCAATTCCTTCCCATCCTGCCTAGCACCATCCTTCCCTCCCACCCCTTGTCCTAGTTCTGTTCTTTATGAATGAAAGTCCAGTTTTGGAGTCTAGCTGAGGTGGGCTATCTTTCTAAGGGAGTGGGGTAGAGAGCAGGGAGGAGAAAAGACAAGAACTTAGTATGTATCTTCTCAATTTGAAGGAAACTGGAGGTTTCTCCCCAAATCCCACTTGAGAATGACCTGAGTAGGATAAGGGTATTTAAAGTGACTAAACTGTAGCTTTGGTTAACAAAGAAGTTCAGGACCGGGGATGATGAGTGGGTATGTGACCCATCCCAGGCCAGGGACTCAGTTTCTCTTTTTTTTAGGAGTCGTGGTGACCCGCAGAGATTGGAGAAGGCAATGGATAACGAGTAGCCTGGGAGTAGGAAAGAATGATGGGCAGAGAGTGGCCTGGGCCAGTGTATTTTCCCGGCATTGCTCCAAACCAAGGACCCCTTGCACTTCCATATACACACTTCCCTCGGAAGAAAGGCTAAAGCAGGAAAAGCCCCAGGGTAGCCCCTACACCATCGGTGTATCTAAAAAGGAGAGGAGGGTGGAAACAGGGTCAACTGACGAGAAAACTAAGCAGAGGAGGTGGGGAAAGGAGCCAAAATCAAGAGAATGGTCCGGGAAGGGCCCTGTCAGGATGGGAGGTTGGGAGCGGGGCCACACCTAGTAGGAGAGGTCAGGGGTGAAGCCACCGCCAGGAGAGGGGAAATTGGGGAAGGGGGAGGTAGCCGGAGGGGGGCCAAAGGCTAGAAGGCTAATTGAAGGCGGGGCCAAAACCAGGGATTGGTTGGGCTGTGGGACAGAATCTAGGCTAGGAGAGGTGCTTGGGTGCGAGGCCCAATCTGGAAAGGCTGTTGGGAATCCAAGGCGGTTGGAGACACGCGTTCAAAACCTAACGCTCCTAGGAGAGGGGTGTGTGTGTGTGTGTGTGTGTGTGTGTGTGTGTGTGTGTGTGTGTGAAGAGGGGGTTGTCACATGATGTCATCGAGCAGGTTGGCACTGGCCACCCAATCTAGGGCTCGGGGCTCGGAGGCGGCCATGATCATGCACATGAAAGGGCGGCCGGTGCGGCGGTCCGTGGGGTAGATGGTGGTGGGAGTGAAGCGCCGGTTGGCCTCCACATACTCGCAGAGCTGCTCATAGATGCGCGGGTACTCGTGGCGAAGGAAGACGCCGCGCAGACGCAGCTCGCGCTGGATGTGGATGAAGGCCACCTCGCGCGCGCGCCGACCAGCCTCGCCTTCCTGGCCCAGGCCCGCTGTGCCGGGCGGTGGCGTCAGGATCAGCGTTTCCATTTCGGGCTCGCGCCGGGGGGCACGCCGTCGTCGCTCGGGGCTCCCGGGCGTCGCCAGGGCCACCTTAGCGAACTTGCGCACAGTGGGCACCGGGCTCTTGGGCGATGGCCGCGCCGGCACGTCGGGTCCCACGGCTACCGTCACGTTGAGCAAGAAGCACTCTGCCGGCTCGTACTGGCGCCCGGCTGCCTGTAGCTCCTGTCCATAGCCGCCCAGCGGGTCTGCGTAGCCGCCCAGCTCGCGCAGGGACAAATAAGTGGGCGACATCAATAGGCTTTCTAGGCCAAACTGCAGGAAGTTCTCTGCCGAACCCGGGCTGGGAAAGCCCAGGAAGAGGACCCCGCGGCCGCGGGACAGGAAGCCCACGCGCGCTATGCGCGAGAAGGCGCGGTGCACTGGCGGGCTCTCGCGGCAGAATTGGAGCACGTGGCGGCACACGCTGCCCACCCGGCCGTAGACGCAGCTGGCCTTGTGCACGTCCCAGTCCTCCCGGCGGCAGTGGCGCGAGCAGTAGTAGGTGTAGCAGCTGTGGCACGACTTGAAGTAGAGGCAGGCGTTGAACATCGTTTCGGTTCGGCGGCACTTGGCGTTGGAGCACGTCATGAGGTCATCTTCGTCCGCACTCAGCTCCGGGGAGCCGCCGGCCGTCTCGTCCCGGCGAGGGACATCCGGGCTGGTAGGCGACGGGGGCTCTGGCTCGGCCTCCGCTTCGGGTCCCAGCTCCGGCTCAGGTGGCCCCCGGGTCTGCCCGTCGCTCAGGAGTTGGCGCAGCTGGCGGCCCAGGCTATCACTGTCCGGGGGCGTGGAACCTGTGGGGGGCTTGGAGTCGATGACCAGGTCAGTGATGAGTTCGTCCAGCTGCTCCAGGCTGCGCTGCCGAGCTGAGGAGGGGCCGTCACGAGCCGGGGGGCGAGGGGCAGGTGCAGGAGGGCGGCCGCCGAGGTGTTCCCAGCCCCCGACCCGACGCTCCGCAGCCCGCAGATCATTGTCGGTGATGGTGATCTCCGGGGTGACGTACCAGGCGCGGCTCGGTCCTTCCCCAGCCCGGCCCTTTTCCTGCAGGGATGTCTCCGACAGCGACAAGGCTGCGTAGCGCTTGGGAGAGCTGGACAAATTGACCACAACCGGAGGCCGTCGACCGTCGGGGGAGAGGCCCCGGGACTCCCTAGGCTCCCTGCCCAGAAGGTTTTCATAACTGCGGCCCCTGCACAGAGGGTCCTCCCGGCGTGGACCAGGCGCTAGGATATTGTCCCAAGAGCGAGAGTAGTGGCGGCTGTCTGTGGCCAGCCGAGGTGGGCTGGTGCCAGTGCCTCCGTGCCAAGAGGATAGCAGTGCCCCGGGGCCGGGAGGCGGTAGGGGGGCAACTTGTAGGGTGCGGTAGGGGAGGGGTTGCCAGTCTCCCCAGGACTGGTTTCCTCCACGAGGGTACGGGTAAGTCCTGGACAGGGCATTTCGCTCGCGGTACTTGGTATAGTCCTCAGTGTAGAAAAGGCGGGAAGAGAAGGCTCGAGAATCCTCTATGTAGCGGGGCTCATCTCCAAAGCGGGGACCGTAGGAGCGTGGGGCTTCCCCGTAGTAGGAACGAGTTGGGGGCTCCTGGATAGGGTAGGTACGGGCTTCCTCCATGTAGTAGCCCCGTGGCGGGCTGGGCCCTTGAGGTTCCTCAGAGTAGTAGGGCTGGAGGCCGTGCCCGGGATAGGGGCGGGCGCCGTAGCTGTCGAAGGCTTGGGCTGGGAGAGTTGGGTAGCCGCTGGGCTCCTCTGTATAGAAGAATTTAGTGGGGCCGGGTGGGGCCGCGAAAGGAGGGCAGCCCCGTTCAGAATAGTCGCGGGAGGGCGGCCCAGGAAAGGGACCGTCACAGTACAGCGCTCGTGGCTCCCCGCTGTAGGAGTCACTAGGCGTGGGCGTGCGCGACAGCACCACGTGGCGAGGCCCAGGCACTGTGAGCCCCCGAGGGGGCAAGGGGACCCGTGCCCAGGCCTGGCTGTCTGCTGGGGGGACAGAGCGGGATCCACGGGCAGCGTGTTGCAGCACCGCCTCATCAGGCTTAATATCTACGCGGCAGCGTACGTGAGGGGCCGGGGCTGGGGCGCGAGCTGGCTCCTCTTGTGGCGGAACGCAGCGGCTGGCAGGGCAGAGGGGTGAAATGCGGTTAGCACTACTGCGCTGCGGCTGCAGCTTGATGGGGTGAAGTTCGTTGGCCAGCGCACGCATGGCCGGGTAGGTGGGCTCTCGCCTTGGAGAAGGTGGCTCGCGGGGCGGAGCCCTCTGCACTTCACGGCCCCTCCGAGTGACTGGGGGTGAGGCGGGCGCGGCCGCGGGCACCAGGTTGGTCTTAGCCCTGGGAGCACTTTTGGAGCGGGCTCGGCGCTTGGGCTCCCCATCCTTTCCGCGGTGGCGCGGCCGAGCAGGCTCAGGGCCAGGTGGTCCGCGCCGCTGCGCCACGGGAGGCAGCTCTTGCGGGTGCCGTTCGGGACCGCGGGGTTCCATGGCGGGCCCGTCCAGCGCCTCTAGGAAATCAAAGCTGCGGCAGTGGCGCTTGTTGAAAGGCGCGGGAGCCGCGGGCCGCGACATTGGGCTTTCACATGGCGGGCCACTGGCTGCGGGGCCTGGGGCGGCCACCTTGATGTCCTGGTATACGGTCGACACCAGCAGATCCGGTGGGTCGGTTCGGGTCATCTTAAAAGAGGCGCCCACGCCACCGGCTCCGTCTCAGACGGCCTCGGGGGAGTCTGGCCCTGTAGAGGTGTGGGGAAGAGAGGCGAAGTTAAAGGTGGAGACCTGATTCCCCTAAACTCAGGATCTGTAAAGGATTGAATTGGGAATATCACAGCTTCTGTAACCCAGCGTTACCTGGGACAGCAGTGCTGTAGTGGCTCTGGAGGTCTGATGCTGGTGGACTGCTTGAAAGAAGCTCCATTCCTGCTGGTTAGCAGCGCCTAGAAAAAGGACCCAAGAATCAGCGGGAGGCTTGAGCCCCTACTCCTCTCTCACGTGGGGCAACTTAGTTTGGCAGCAACTATCCCTCCCACCGTGGAAATAGCCAGAAATCTGAGAGCAAATTTCTGGCCTTAGCGGTTTGTCCACCTCTTGGCCACTGACAACCGTTTCTCCATCTGGGACTTGGGATAAATCCCTGTCACAGGATCTGGCACGGCTCCCTCCCCAGGGCTAAAAAAGCCCAGTTCTTGTCATTGGAGAGTGCAGGGGAAAGCTAAGTGGATCTGAGGTCAGGAAACCTAGGTGTGGCTCAGTTTTCACCATTTACTACCTGACCAGTATCTGTGAGCAAGTCACCTCTTTAGTTACTCCATCTGTGAAATGGGGATAATTCTTGTCCCACCTACCTCACAGTTGTGAAGAAAGCTCTGTAAGAGGTGAGCTCTTCAGCAGGGAGTTCCCACTCAAGAATTTGCAGCTGGTGTTGACATGGTTACCGGGCTCTGGTTATGGGATGGGGAGTATTCATTAATGGTCCTTATATGGCTAAGGCCTTGTGATAAATGATTTTTGGTTACATATAAAATATAAAATCATAAGGCTGACTCTTAAGAAATCACAGAGGAACCAGTTCTCTTGTCCCTGCATCATGGGCACCTGTTAAACATAATTTTAGAGCTGGAAAGAGCCTCAGATGTCTTCTGTGATTCTTATGTGATTCTTAGGAATCTCCTCTCCAATATCCTCAGAAACCTTTGCTTGAAGACCTCCTTTAATAAGGAAGTGTTCCCCTCCCCCCCTTCCACTTTTTTACAGCTCTAATTGTTAATATCCCCCCCCCCCCCCATTTGTAGAGTTGAAATCTTCCTCTCTGCAACTTCCACCCACTGCCAACAGCATGGCTTTGTGTGGCCAAGTAGTGTAAAGCTAATCCTGTTTCAGAGAGCATGCATGGTGAATGACTGGGGTATCATGGCGCAGTGAAAAAGAGGAGTTGCTTTAGGGTTTGAGAACATAGGTTCAAATCCTTCCCCTGAGGCTTACTATTCTGTTTAACTTTGGCCAAGTAAGTCATGTTAGTGTTCCTAAATCTATGTTTCCTCAACTGTAAAATGATGGCCTTGGGCCACATGGCCTAGGATGCTTTCCAGCTGTACAGCTGTGACTTTATGATGGGAGGGAGAAGGGCACATGGATGCAAGACAGGCTTCTAGACCTCTTTGGACCCTTTCCCTGGCTCACTTAAGCTGTAAAACAGGGAGAGTGTGGCACGGTCACGAATACACACTCCACCCTTTCACTCTTTACATTGACATATGGCTAAGCAATCAGGAAGACCACAGTTCAAGTCCCACTGACACATATTAGGAGTTGTAACCCTGGGCAAACCACTTAACACATGGTGCTGTGGAAGGAGTGCTGTACTTGGAATTATAGGATGCAAATCAGGATCCTAACTCTGCTTATTATCTGTGCAGCCTTAGGCGAGTCACTTAACCTCTCTGGCCCTCAGTTTCCTCATTTATAAAAATGATGGGGTTGGGTTAGATGACCTCTAAGATCCTTCTAGCTCTAGTTCTTTGTCTTATCATATAGTCACATATGCATAAGGCCACTAGTATAATTTCAAATGAGGGTGCACAGATAGAAAGAGATGTGCAGCATGAAAATACTGCCCACTTACTCCCCACCAACAAGGCTGAAATACATCAAGACATGCTATTGAAGAGGACTGTGCCATAGAAACTCATGATTCCTGTCCCCAAACATAAATGAGCTCAAAATGGACCATAAGCACAGTGAGGGTTGGGGAAACATGTACAATCCTTAAACTTGAATGTTCCCCACCTTAAATAACATGGATGGCCCCAAATAGTCTTAGCAGCCAGACAGAACTTTCAACTATAAGCTCCTTGAAGGTTGTTACTATACCTTTATCATCTCTGTTTCCTGATGGTCTATTTCAGTGAGCTTAACATGCATGTTAGTTTAACTGAAGCCATGTTAATTTGGCCAGAAAAAGTACTCCTTCCGTAACGCCCCCCCTTTTTTTAAGCAAGTCCAGTTTTCCTTTAATTATTCACATGATTGAGATGGTATAGGTGGTCCCATACAGGTAGAGAAATGCCAGGGAAATATTCACATTTCATTCTACTCCTGACATACTTGCAACAATCACCACTTCACACTTTCCACTTGAGCTAAACAAAAGTGGTCTCCAGGGCCTGAGGAATATTTAGGGATCAAAACTAGATCAGTTTCTGAGTGGCCTATGTAACACCCTGAGAGAAACTGTAATGTCATGGAAAGTAATTGAGCCCTGAGCTTAAGAGTCAAGAGGAAAAAAACAAAACAAAACAAAACTTCAAGCATTGAGCACTTAACTATATGCCAGGCATTGTACTCAGTGCTGGGAATGCAAAGACAAGCAAAAAGACAGAGCACAAGGCAACATTTATTAACTGTGTGACTGTGGGTCAGTCACTTATTATCTCTGAAGCCCTTTTTCTGCAAAATCTGCAAATTGAGGATGATATTTGCCTTACCCACCTCACAGGACTGTTAAGAGGGAAGTACTTTGTATTAAATTGAACATTCAGTCCCTGTTATAATGTGTATAATAGTGGATAGAAGGCCAGTTTTGGGCCAAAAACCTAGGCCTAAGTCCCCTTTGACACATTGTGTGACCCTGGGAAAGTCACTCCACTACCATTAACTCACCTACCTTACAGGCAATTCTAAAAGCTGTCCCCAGATTTCCCAATGTGTATTGGTAGTAGGAGCTTTCTTCACTGGGAGGTCCTACACTGATGTACATGAGGACAGAACCTTCTACCACACTTAAAGTGCTGTGGAAATGTAAAATTATTAGTAGAGCCATGTTTTTTTATACTGATAATCTCCCAGAGATGGGAATAATGGCATATCTTTTCAGAAGAATTAAACTTGCTGGGGACCCAGGGAGCTAGGTGAGCAAGCTGTAACACTTGACAGTGATGACATGCATCAGCAAGGACATGGATGATGGGCAAAGGGATGAGCAAGTCATATGATGAGAGTTAGGGAGAAGAGAATGGTCATGTGCAGTATGAGTTGCCACAAAACATTCAAAGGGCCAGAGAAAGTTCTAGGTACAGCGAATATCCTGAATTAATGAAAGAACATGGACAAGAAATTCATAGAATAAGAAGGTATCTGGAGCAGGTGCAGCCTACACTGATGAAGGTAGCATGCAGGCTGATAAGATCGCAGACCAATGAGATCATGGATCCATTTTAGGATGAATAAATAATTCTGTGTGCCCACAATTGGGCTCCCATCACTAACTCAGAGAAGCAGATACTCAAGGACTGTGGCACACACAGGAGAAAGTGTTCATCCACAACTGTCTGAAGCGGCTAGGTGGTGCAGTAGAGTGTTGGGCCTGGAGTCAGGAAGACCTGAATTCAAATCCTAACCGTGTGACCGTGGGCAAGTCACTTAATCCCTCTCTGCCTCAGTGTCTGCATCTGCAAAATGGGAATAATAGTTGTGAAGATAAAATGAGATAATAGCTAACAGATCTATAGCACTTACTATGTGCTAGGCACTATGGTAAGCATTTTACAGATACCTCATTTGGTCCTTAAAACAACTCTGGAGGTAGGTGCTATGATTATCCCCATTTTCCTGTTGAGAAAACTGAGGCAGACAGAGGTTAAGTGATTTACACAGGGTCACACAGCTAGTAAGTGAGGCAAAATGTGAACTCAGGTCTTCCGGAATCCAGGCCCAGTGCTCTATCCACTGCACCACCTAGCTGTCACCTAAGTAATATTGGTAAAGTGCTTTGCAAACCTTGAAGTTCTATATAAAAGCTAGCTAAAAAAAAATCTGCAGCATGTATACACACATATGCATACTTAAATATAAACAACAATCCCTCTTAAGTACCTGCCTCCCAATTCATCAACCTCCTTATGTCTCACGATTAGCACTTTCATTCTACCCCCAACCCATATAAAGAGAAGATCATAGCCTTGATTTCCTAACTTGGAGCTGTTCCACCTCTGTAATCCAGAACTCATGTTTTCTGACCCTAACTATGTTTCCATTTCTTTCCATGTACTACTACTTCCAATCCTATTCTTTATTCTTACCACGACCTCCTGGCTCTCCACCTCTTCCAGGCCATGGCACTTGCTATGGCTTCACTTTCCTCCATTCATGGTACTGATCCTGCAGTTAACTAGTTCAACCATATGACCTTCTATTCTCCAGTCCTTTGCTTTTTGTCCTATGTCTGATGATATTTTGTCAGCCCTGGTTTGTCCCATCTTCCACCTTCTCCCGTCCTGCTGAAATGCTGCTGAGTGCTTTGTTTGGCTGAATGCTATGGGCTGCTGCTGGAAGCTGCACAGCCTTGCTGATGGGCCTACTACAAATTCATGTTGATATCTCTTTCTGCTGTATGGTAATTCTGTTATTCTTCCATAATTAACCATATTCCCTACAGTGGCTGTTCCAAACTTCTCTAAAAGCCTCCCACACCACTTTCCCTTTCCCCTCCTCTAGCAAAATCTCTCTTCAAGTCTCCCATTTTATTAAATAGAATCCACCTATCATTCCTCCCCTTTTTGCTCATCTTTTACACCTCAAAACCTCTCATCACAACCCCAAGGGAGAGTACCAAGTGGTGGCATGTGTCAGTTCACCTCAACTACTACTTCCACTCAGACCCCCATGGAGACAATCCAGAACCCTAAGCCCAAGAGTCCTGGGCATCATCAACCCTGCTCAGAGCCTGGCCTCTGTGGAGAATAAACCCTCTACTGCAAATTATTAGTACACCACCACCAACCACGACTAACTGCCATGGATGAGCTGGAAAGCTCAAGAGCCCCAGAAAAAGCAGCACCTCCTAGACCATTGGCCCTGTTTCCAGTTCAGCCTCCAAAGCCATCATCCAGAGGAGCAACCCCTGTGGAGAAGGGGTCAGCCATCTCCACCAGCTGCTGAATAGTTGCCACCAACAGGGCAGGCAAGGAAGCCTAGGCAAGTCAAACCACAGCCACTCCCTCACCTTCCTCTTCCCCTTAGTCTTTGAAAGGAAACAGTCTGGAACTCTGTATTAAAGAGTTTTGGGAATATCAGTGTCCCCTCCACTCTAGCCCCCTATCTCCTGCAGCCATCATCCAGGAGTCACGTTGTGCAGTTTCAGTCTGCCGACTGTTTCTGCAGGTGCCTCCTCAGCAGCCACAGCCACTGAAGACCTGGAAGGGAAAGTTCTTGCTGCCAAAGTCCATGGCCTGGTCACATGGTTCAGTGTCAGAAAAGGATATATTGTGTCAGGAGATATATTAAAGAAGACATAATACCCTTTGCTTTGAAGCTGCATCTAGGACCATGAGGCATTTTCATTTGAGCTGCAGTTGAAACTTTTATGTGTTGTCTGTCCCTATTAAGGAGTGAGCTCTTTGAGGGCAGGAACACTCTTCTATATTTCTATCCTCAACACATAGCTCAGTGCTTTGTTCATAGTATGCACTTACTTAGTAAATGCTTTTTCATTCATTCATTCATTCATTAGCCATTCACTCTTCTTTTGCTATAGTATCTACCCAAGGTGTTGGCCCATCTCTCCAAGGCTAGTTAAAGCAGTGCTTGATCTAATCCCTTTTCATCACCTCTGGGTAGCTTGTCCCTTGAACAGTGCTTCTTAAACTAAAAAGTTTAAGAAGCCCTGTCTTAGAACACCCCTCTTTTATCTTCAGTCTTTCCTTATCAAAACTGTTTACAAACTGGCTCAGGTCTTCCTCATCTTTAAAATGCCTTCATTCAACTTCATCTTTCCCTCAAGCTATAGGCCTGTGTCTTTATTCCCCTTGATATCAAACTCTTAGAAAAAGGGTTTTTTTCTCTCACTTCCTTACCCTCTTGCAATGTGACTTCTGACTCCACAACTCAACTGAAACTCTTCTCTCCAAATTAACCAATGACTTCTTTAATTGCTAGATCCAATGGCTTTTTCTCATTTATTATTTGTGACCTCTCCTGAAACTTTTGAAATAGTTCACCATCTCTTCTCCTGGAAGGGATTTTAGAGGTCATCTAGTCTACCCTCGTTTTATAGACAAGGTGATAGAGCCCAGAGAGGTTTGTAACTTGCCCACATCATACAGAAAAGAAGTGTCAGAGACAGGATTTGAACTCAGGCTCTCTGACTCCAAAGCTGGTGCTCTTTCCATTCTGCCATGCTGCTCTTCTTGTTTTTTCCCTTAACTTGTGCAACACTGCCAATTTCTGGTTCTCCTCCTACCCTTCTGACCCATCCTTCCCAGTCTTCTTTGCTGGATTATCCATTTCCAGCTCCCTAACTATGGGTGTTGCCCAGTGCCCCTCACAAGGCTCTGTGGGCTCTCTTTTAATATACCCCCTTTCTTGCTGAGCTCATTTATGTGGGTGACTTCCAGATCTTAACAGCCAGGCCTAATCTCTCTCCTGAGCTTTAGTCCCAAAACAGCCACCCTTACATCTCCATTAGGATGTTCTATGAGTTTCCCAAAGTCAACTTGTCCTTAAATGAGACTTGTCTCCCATCACTCTCCTCACCGACCCATTCTCCATAAAATTTCTCTGTATCTGTGACTGAGGTTCATAACCGTAGCTGTTTGAAGGCCCATCTTTTTTCCTTGCAAATGGGCAAACTCTATGCCCATGGAAGAGGAGAAAAGGGCCTGGGGAGGCTTCATATGTATCTATCCCCCAAGTCCCAATACCCGTCCCTACCATTCCTCTACTCCTTTCCCATCACCACACATATGGCCTAGAGGGGAGCTCTTTCCTCCTTCATCCTTCAATCTCTTCACTATCATTCCTTCCACTGTTGACAAGTATTTTTGACTTTATCCTCACATTTCTTTTTTAAAAATTAAATAATTTATTTATTAATTTTTAGTTTTCAACATTCACTTCTATAAGATTTTGAAGTTTAGATTTTCTTCCTCTCCCTCTCCTCCCCCCTCCCCAAGATGGTGTGCAATCTGATATAGGCTCTACTTATATGTTCATATTAAGCATATTTTCACATTAGTCATGATGTAAAGAAGAATTAGAACCAATGGGTGTCGTCACATTTCTTGAATCTATTACTTTCTTTCCTCTCATGTGGCTACCACCTCAGTTGAGGTTCTAATTCCCTCTTGCCTGGATTATTTTCAGCTTCCTAATTGGTATCACTGCTTCCATTCTCTTCCCCTTTCCATTCTTCATACAGATACAAAAACTATCTTTCAGCACAGGCCTGACCACTCCTCCTCAAGAACCTTGAGTGGTTCCCTGTTGCTTCTAGGAGAGAAGTCAAATTCCTCACCTTAGCATTTAAAGCTCTTCACAATATAGAATCCAGCTTAAATTTATTTCACATTGCCTCCCTTCACACATACTACATTACAACAAAATGATCTGCTTGCCATTCCCTGAACTTCATGCCATTTCTCCATTCCTGTGCCTTTGCACAAACTTTTCCCTTTCTTCCCCATGCCTGAAATGCATTTCTTCCTTGCCTCTTTCCTTGTCTTCTTAGAATGCTTAGATTCTTTTAAGATGCAATTCAGGTGCCATCTTATAAGTGAAATTTTTCCTGATCTATTTTAGTGCTTCCACCCTCCTCAAATTATCTGTGTATGTCTCCTCCCAATATAGTATAAAATACTTGAAGGGAAATAATTTAAAAAAAAATTCTTAGTTGCTGATCTTGTGAAGTTCCTTGAGACTAGGGACTTTGATTTTTGTCACTGCATTTCAGTATCTACCAGATTTCTTACCTAGGTAGGTGCTTAATGAGTGTTTGATTGTTCTGCATTGGTGGAGGTATTTTCTCCACCAGGAGAAAACCTGGTGTTACCAGGAGTTACCCAGACCCAAATAATCAGATGTTTAGACCAAGAAGGAAAAATCCCCTGTGCCTAGTGCAGTACTTCAAATATAGTAGATAACATAATAAATGTGTACCTGAACATTTGAGTGCCCTAAAGGAAATTCCAAGAGAACTCACCTCTTTCTAGATCAGTTGTGGGGGCATCCTGATGAAGCACTTACTTCTGAAGACCCCAGCAGAAAAGAGAGGGAGCCCTTTCTTATCTGATATTGGCAGATGAAGGGCTGGTCCCTCTGTGGATGAGCTAGTTCCATGGAAACTAGGGGATACATACAATATGCACACATGCCGCTGGGAACGAAGGGTATAGAGTAAAGATATCCAGCAGCTAAGGCTGCCTTTTCATTTCCTTCAGGAAAGACCCTCCTCTGGTAATGGCAGAGCCCCCACCCTGCAGATACTATAGAGCTCCTTCCAGCTCTTCCTCCTCCATTCCCCCATATTCTGGAGTCCCCTCTGCAGTCCCCAGGGTTCCCGCCTACTTGGTGATAACCATCTCCGTTCAGCAGTGTCCAGGGAAGCCCAGCCTTGAGAAGGAATGGGGACAGAGTTTGTTTCTGTTCTCACCAACTGATGCTCAAACCGTTGCCCTGGGGAGCTAAAGAGAAGATCACTCCTTTCCCTAAAGTTCTTATACCTGTCCTCTCTGCCCATATCTCACTCACAGGGCAGATAGACCAGTTGACGGCTCCATGGTGCTGGCCACACCTGCAAGAAGTTGTGGGGGGTGGTGACATGGCATGACAGGCGGCATGCAGCCCCCACGGAGGTCAGAGGAGGAGAAAATGGCAGTTTTTGGAGGGAGGTGGGGAACAGTTGTGCAAGCCAAAAACTGGGTCTGTTAAAGATTTCAGGGGACTCCACTTATTCAAGCAGGAGCTTTAGGCTGTTTCAAGCCCCCATCTATCTCCCTTATAAATGGGCAGACTCTTTGTACCTCTAAAAAGAGGAGAAAAGGGCTTGAGGACGCTTCCTCTTGCCCAGATCTCCCACCCAACCCCCCAGGTCTCACCTCCCCACCCCATCTCTACCCTTCCCCCATTCCTTTCCCATTACTATACTCAGGGCCAGGGAAGAGCTAGGCCTTGGGGTTGTGTTAGGACGGTTTGGACCCCCCTCTTCAACTGGGGGTGGGGGCATCTTATAGGTGCAGGAACCAGTTGCTGTTCCCCTTCTCCACCTCTCGCTTTGGGGGTCAGGCGTCCTTCTTTGGCGGGGATATTGGGGGAGGGTATGATCTGGGGGGAGGGGACTTTCTGGGGGGCACCCCCCTTCTCCTGCAGGAGCTGGTCCAGGAGGGGGCTGCGTAGCTGCCCTGTTTCCCCCCTCCCACAACCCCAAGAGGAATGCTGTACAGGTCAGGGAGCCCAGAGTCGCCCCACATTCTAGCCCTGCAGCTCCCCCGACTGGTCGTCCCCAGACTCCCTTAAGAGCTGTCCTGGGGACTCCCTCATCATCATCATCATCATCATTATCATCCCTCTGGTCGCAGGAGGACATTTGGGGACAGAGGGAGGCGGGCTCAGGGTTGGGGTCCTCCGTGCGGATTCCTCCCCTCCCCCCATTTCCTTTCTCCTTTTGGGCACTTACCTTGGCGCCCCCGCCCGGGCGCCCTCTGGCTGCCACGACGGCCCAGGGGGGCAGCGCGGCCCCGCACGACCGGCCCGGCCCCGGCCCCGCTGCGGTCGCCCCGGCTCCAGCAGAAGCTTCGAGGCAGCCGCGCCGGCCGGGCCCCAGCTCAGTGCTGCCCCCGACGGCCGCTCCTGGGGCCGTGCTTAAAGGGGCAGTGCATCCGGGGACCGCCCAAAGCTTGGTTAGGTGGGCCACCCGTCTCCGACCGTGTACAGTAGGGTCTGGAAGTGGGGGAGGAATAGTTTAGGTGAGCTCAGCCAATGCAATACTCAACCAGGTGAAACTCTCCTTGCACTCCAAAGCCACTTAAATCTGTTTTCTTCTTCTTGGCCATTGTGTCGGAAAGATCTTTATGGTTAACCTTCCCATATACCACGCTGCCATCCCCTTTTGAGACAACCCCTGTAAGGTGATTGACCCTGGGCAAATACCATCCCTTCCCTAGTTTTTAGTTTCCCCATATATAAAAAGAGGGGGTTGGATTAGGTTAAGTGTTTTTTTTTTTTTTTTGCATCACGGATCCCTTTAATAAGTCTGGTGGTCTATGGACCCCTTTTTAGAATGTTTGGAAATGCATAAAACACAGGATTACAAAGGAAACCAAAAATTAGTGAAAATAAAGATGTCACTCTCCATACCCCCTTTCAAATTCATGGATTCCCTGAAATCTGTCCACACCCCATGGGCTCTGGAGTAGATGGTTTCTAAAGTCCTTCCAACATTAACATTTTGTGATTCTATGACTCGCTGTGATCTACATTTTTCCTTATGTTAGATCAGTTCTTTCTTTCTCAGCCTAATGTGCCTCAAGATCTCCCCTGCTGGGGATAAGGATCATAGAAGGGATCTCAGAGGTCGTCTGATTGAACCATGTCATTTTACAGATGGGGAAACTGGACCAAGGAGGTTGCGACTTGACCAAGGTCACATAGGCATGGGGTGGGATTTGAACCCAGGTCCTTGGACTCTAGAGGTGGTGTTCTTTCCAGTAAGCTCAAGAAGTTGATACTTTCTCTCCAAGGAAGAGAAATCTTTAATAAATGTGTGAAGATTTTTTTGGGGGGGGAGGTGAGAGGAAAGGAGGAAGAGCTTGGCCCTATTGAACAAGGAGTAGAGCCAAAGTATGTACTACGTGAGTCCTAGTTGTTTTTCTGGCAAGGAGGAGGCTGCAGGGCCTTAAGTGGAGGGGAAAAGGGATCTTGTTTCTCTGGCCCAAGGTGGGAGCAGATGGGATAGTGGTTTGGGGCAGAGGGAGAAGCAGTTCAGCAGGATCTCCTTATATTGTTCCCCCTCTACAAGCTACTATTAGTGAAGGCACAGAACTGTCTGGCATTAGCCTTGACACTTTGCCTTGTTCTTTTCCTCATAAATTCTCCTACCCCCAGTTTCCTGCCCAGTTCTGATTCTCTTGCCTGTCAGCTTTCCCCATGGTTTCATCTGATCCATGTTAGAAGGTGCTAACAATTCACCTATATAAATACCACAGCAGATGGAGCTACACTTTAGGAAGTGGAACTAAGGGCTGGGACCAGAGCCATGGCCTGCAGTCTCCAATCCCTCCAGCTGGTCCTGTTGCTTGTGCCCAACAGCCCACCCTGAGCGCCCTTTCCCACAGGGTAGCTGGAAATCTGGTCCATGAGGAGGTGCCCTATGATAACTGATATGTATACCATTTTTTAAAGTTTGCAGAACACTGTATATACATGTCACTTGACTTTACAACAAGCCCTGAGGTAGGTACTACAGAAATGATTGTTCCCATTTCACAGATGAAGAAAACTGGCTCAGAGAGATCATGACTTACATATACTTTGTCAAACAGTGCCAGAGGTGAAATTCAAACCAAGGTCTTTCTTCAGGACTCATCTCCCCATCCCCCCTTGTCACATCATTCCACACTTCATAGAGGAGGGTGGCGTTCCTCCTGCTTCTGCACAGCTACATAGATCATTATTTCCACCCATCTGGAGCCCCATCTCTTCCTTGCCTTCAGCCATCAAGGCCTTTATTGTTTTGCTCAAAACACTTTCCCCATGAAAAGTTTCTAATTGAAATCATGTCTTTGACTGTAGAATGGGAAGAACACAGGAGTGGAGTTCTAGTCTCTCCATTTACTAGTTCGATGAGTTTGGGCCCATTTCATCTTCCTTAGTCTGTTTCTTTGTCTATGAAGTGTTCACAATAACATCTGACATTTCCATGACTCATTAGAATTTGCAAAGCATTATCCTATGTGACTTTCACAGCAAACCTGTGAAATGTTGCAGCTATTATCTCCATTTTACAAATGAAGAAACTGATTTTGAGAGGTTAAGTGACTTGCCCAGGGCCACCCAGCAAGTTAGTGGCTGCAATAGGATTTAAAACTCTGGAATCCAAGTCCTGCCCACCATTCCACTTACCACCTCCCAGAAGTGGGGTGAAATGGGAAGAATGCTGGTCTTAGAGGAGCTTGCCCTGCCCTGTAAGACCTTAGGCAAGTAATTTAAGACCTCTAGACATCAGTATCCTCATCTGTAATATGAGGCTGGACTAGGTATCTTTTAAGAATCCTATAATCTACCACTTGCTCCGGAGGATCTCCCTTTGGAGTTGACACAGCACTTTGTTTTGGGTCTCTTTTGCATACTCAGCTTGTAATAAATTGTTTGCATCTTAATCCCCTACGTGGCCACTCAGGGTCTGTCTTATCTAAACCTTGTATCACTCTCAGCCTCTAGCACAGTAGGTACTTAAGGTTAATTTAATAATCAAATAACATGTAAAAGGACTTGTAACTACATTGTATAAATGAGTTGAATCACCTCACTCATGTGATATGACTAAAGTAATGAGACCAATTTTCTGCAAATCATACACATAACTATTCTTAGCCACAATTTGTATTGTTTTAGGGACTTCTTGAGAACAGGGAAACAGCTTCTCTATCACAGTAGGCCCATCTCACAGTTCTGTTTTGCCTTTTTTCCTCAATGAAAAGGAAGAAAAAAAAAGTCCAGATTTATAAATCACTTGGATTAATCCCTTTATACAAAATCGCTGGAAATCTCTGAGCCCTAGAAGGGAAGAAGGTCTCTCTGCCTTGTCCCCCCCTTAGCAGGGGACATCTCTTAAAAAAAGCAAGGAGTCTTTAATATTATCTGCTCAGCCCTGGATGCTAGACACAGACATGGGAAGCAAGGGCTCGGCAGACCGAGGGTAGGATACTTCAAGGGGTATTCAAGACATCCTTGATAAAACTGAGGAGGGGAATCACTCAATTCCCTTGTGTCCACTGACAATCTATAGTAGCCCCTCAGAGGATGAGGTGGACCCTCCTTATAGAGGCACGTGCCCAAAATAGATTGGGGGAAGGGGAAAGAAAACATGTTGCTTAGCAACTATTAGTCTGAAGCTTCCTAAGAGGGTCCAGCACTTCCCCTGCTCCTTATTCAATACCACCCTTTACAGCAACCAGAGTTCCTTTAGATGTGTGTGTGGTGAGATTCTGAGGCATGTGGCATTCTGAGACACATTGCTGATCCCCCTCCCTTATTTCCATGGGAGAGGTGGGGCTGTGGCTTCTACATTGGTGACTGTTCCCATGGCAACATTGTGGGGGTGGTGGTGGATGCCAGGGGAACCATCAAGCTTGTGGAAGATGGGTGGAACAAGGGCAAACAGGGGCAGGGCACTTTCTGACCCAGTCGTACTCTGCCATCAACTAAAGGAAAGGCTCCCTGGAGTAGGGTGGTAGTAGAGGGGATCAAGGTACAGGGAATGGTGGGCACAAACAGGGTCTAAGATGTGGCAGTAAGAATCCCCTCTCAGCAAAGACCCATCTTGAACCCTTATGGGCCCGAGTAGAAACATTGGCAGGGGATGGAGTGATAGGGCCAAGAGTCTTAGAGCTCAGCTTAGTCCTTGAATCCTACCTTGTGAAAAGAAAGACTAAGACCTACACTGTGGGAAAACTGAAGTACTGGAGAAAATGAGAGTCAAATTAAGATTTCAGAATGGATTCTAGGGGTTATCCCAAGGTGACCTTGGACAAATCACAATTTCTCTGGGCCACAGTTTGCTCTTCTATGAGTTGGTTGGATTAGATGCCCTTTGGGGTCCCAGGCTCTAAAATCTATGATCCTGTTATTTTAGGATTTGGCCAAGTCTGAATTATGTTACTAAAGGTTGGGGAAAAGGAGTCTTGCAACTCCACAATTCAGCGAGAAATGTTTTCAACTAGATACCATAGAATAGTCAGTACTCCTCTATCCTATACATTTCAAATTCTATTACAGTTGTGCTGTGTCCCCACCCACTAAATTCTGGGGAGTCCATGTTTCTCAGTGCCTAGCACAGTGCTTTACACACATCATTAATATGCATGCAATATGCTAAAGCCTGGAGGATCAACCAGAATACATCCCCATGTCTGCCTGAGCTTAGAGTAGGAATACTTTCGTTTCCTGAAAGTTTCCAGGACTGAATTCAAGGTCATCTCTCCCCATACTAAGCAGGACCATTCCCTACAAAGGGACTGCTATATAGGGTCCTTTTGCTCCCCTCATGTCCCAGTCTGGGCCTTAGCTATTCCTGGAGCATTCACATTGATTCTAGCTTTCTAGATTCAGGGACCAAAAACTATTACTATCATTCTCCCTTGGCGGGGAGATTCATGGAAGGAGGATGCCTTAGTTCAAAGGTGTTCTTCCTTGGCCTAAATGTATGTTCCTTAGGATAGACCTTTCTTGCTCTACTTTTAAGAAGCCACAGGTTAGCAGTGCTCTCAAGACTTGGACATTCCTTTGCTTCTCTGTCTAGTTCTCCCAATGCCACCTTTAATCTTAGCCTAACTCCATAATCACCCCAAGTGGTAGGTGGGATGTGGAAGAAAACACAGACAGCAGTAAAAGAGCGCTTTATGGTCAGAGTGGAGCATCCAATAGAACGTGATGGGAACAAACCTTTAAAAAACACAAGTATTTTACACCCCTGCTTCCCTGTGGTATTTCCTCTCTGAGCCCAAATGCTGATGATAATTCCCTCCTTCTGGCTAAAACTGAGGCTGGGAATGATCAGATTTGGAAAAAGAAACTGCCTTCCAAGAAGTATTGCCATCCAAGACCCCATTCCTTTGTCCATTACACATCAGCCACTCTGGAGATAATGGAGCCTGGAAGAAAATGGGCAAGGCTGGGCTGTAGAGAAGCAGCTGTGAGTCATAATTTCCTCTGGCCAAGTAGAACAGATCCTGGTCTTTGGAATAGGAAAGGATAAATTCTTTTGTAAGTTTTGTGAGAATGGGGTACTAGGAGAAACACTGAACCTTAGACTGGGGTTCTAGAGCATTGTGCAAGGGTGGAGAATCCCTTACCCTTATCACCAATACTTTGGAATGGGCTGGTTCCAGAACATAATGTCATGGTATCTAGGGATGTCATGGCTTTCCCTTTTACTCTAGGGTGAGGGAACATGGAACATTAAGAGAAGACCATGGGTATAGGTCGAGACAGGGGCCTGAAATATGCCAAAACACAGGGATCACCAAGAGACAAGAACTAGATCTGGAATGCTTCTGGAAGCCCTGCTTCCACAGCTCCTCTGCTCCAACACCCCCCCCCCCCCCCCCATGTAAACAGGTTGGGATTCCTGCAAGTGCCTCAAAAGGCTTTTGTCATGTCCCTGAGAAGTACTATAGGGTTACTGGGGCAATAGGGCAAAGGAGTCTGGGCCACAAACCCAGCCAAGGTGGATGAATGATTTATTAATATAAAAGACACTTGCATTCTACCACCATTCCCCTTTTCCCCACCTGGACCCATATCTCTTCTGTGCCCCTGCCTCAAACTCTAGAGCAGCTATCATCAGCCTTTAACTGGAGCTATGGGGGATGGGGAAAGGTACAGCTGGAACATTTAGTAAACTTGTGCTGGGCCTCTCCTGTTCCAGAATGGCAGGCAGCTCAACAAAATTTCCCTTACCATTTCTGTCTTAGCTTTTCTCATACTGACTGCTATGGGGCAAAGGCCAAAGTATTATTCATTAAGGAAAAAAAAAGTTATGAAAAATAGAGCTGAAATCTTTGATTCCTCCCAAGGTTAAGAGAACAACTGGTTAGGCTGATACTGCTATTTCTTCAGCAATTAAAATTGGAGTGTTCTGTAAATAGCAATGAATGGGAGGGTTGAGCAGGGATGATGGGGAGCTGTGCCCCTCTCTCCCTTGCACTGGGCTTATTGGAGAAAGGGGTGGGTCAGAACTAGGCTCTGTTCTCCCCAGCCCCTCACCTAAGCCTACACCTGACCGTTCCCCACCCAACTGGGTACTGGTCCTTTCACACTGGAATGTCTTTACCAGGACACCTAAGGAACTCCCCATCCCCCTACCTTCATGGCCTCTGAGGGGCATCTGGTAGACCCAGCCCAGGTCCCACCTGGCAGCCCCCATCCTGCCAAGGCTCAGAAGCAGAGATGAATGACAGGTCTGCGGGTTCCCATGCACCCCAGGCCTAGAGCTCCTCATAGTCTCCACCCCCGTGTTGTTTGGGGGCTACGGCTCCACCCCCAAGGAAGGCTTCCAGCTCATCAATCTCCTCAGTCTTCTTGCTTCGCTTCTTCTTCCTCTTCTTCTCATCCTTTCCTTCTTCCTTGTCCTTGGCTTTTCTGTGCTTGCTTTTCTTTTTTACAGCCTTTTCCTCCTCCTGGAAGGTAAGACATGATATATTAAGAACTCTGACAGTGAGCTGACCCCAGGGATGGGATGGAGAAGTAGTCTGGTAGCCTTCCTGTAAGCCCAGAGAAAATCAAACTGGGTCGATCCTTCTAGAAAGGCCAATAAAAGTACTAAATCTAACCCCTGCCTTCCCATGCAATTACGAACTGCAGGACTGTCACATAAGACAAACTATTATTTGGTGATGCAAAGGCCAATCAAGCATGTAAAAGGCACTATTTTTGGGGTACTGACCTAAGCACTGGGGATACAAAGACAAATATGGTTCCTGCCTTCAAGTGGCTCACATTCTAATGGGGAAGACAACAAACAACTCTGTACACACAAGATATACACAGTATAAATTGAAGTCAGAATAGTCCTTGCTCCCCACTACTACTTCCAGACTGTTCCTCTACCACCACCACCACCACTCATCAATCTCTTCAGTATCGGGCAATTAAAATGTATCACTCAATTTAGATTCTGGTAGCCATTATCTTATCCATTTCTAGAACACTTTCCTTCCTCAATGAATTAGGAATTCATTGGCTTCCCAGTCTTTATCCCCACCCCAACTCTTGCCCGAATATTATATACTCTTAATAGTCCCTCAAAAATCCTAATGTCTCAGTTTTCCAAACTACTCAGTTCCCAGAACCTTTATTCCACCTGAGCTACAGAGATAGTTATACTCCTGATCTTCCCCATCACCTATAAGAGTTCAACTTCTATGTCCATGAATTCCAAAATTCTTTTATATAATCATAACCTTTTATTATTTCATCATTCCCTTGACCTTACAATCCCTAACCTGTTCCTCCTCACTCTCCAATCCCCCCACCTCTTGTTCTTTCCTAGGCCATGATATTTGTACTGGGCTTACCCTTTCCTATTACAACTCCTTGGTGCACCAGTTCCACTCTATATTATCTCTACACTAGAGTCCTTTGCCCACTTGTCTTTTCACGGATCATGCCTTACCAAACCTTAACTTTGGATTACTCCCACTATGCTACCTTTGCTGATTCACATGCAATTAGATTGGAGCTGGAGATAGTCATAAGAACCATGAGAACTGGATATACTACAAATTTCCTAAAAAATAGCAACTGGGCCCTCCTAACCAATTTACTCTCCACTTACACACTGGCTATTTCAAACCTTTCTATCCTTCCTCAAGCCTCCTAAATAGCACCTTCTCCCCACAATTCCTTCAGCTAAGAACCTTTTCTTATACTATCCTCCAAAATTGAGGCCATTTGCTGAGAGGTGCCTTTTTTCCCCTCCTCATTCAGACGTCTTCCCCCACTAACTCCTTCTTTTCCCTCTCTGAGGAAGAGGTGGCCCTTTTCCTTGCTAAGGCAAACACCCCTACATACATTCCATCCCACCTTCTCTGGCAGACTGCTCAATCTCTGCCCATCTGTCAACTGCTTCCCTGCTACTACAAATCCACTCGTGTTTCCCCCATCCTTAAAAAGGCCTCACTTGATCCATCCTTCCCCACTAGTTATTGACTTGCATCTCACCTCCCTTTTGTGGCTAAAGTTCCTGAGAAAGCTGTCTTTACTCAATGATTCCTCTTCCCACAAAATTCTAAATCCTCAGCAATCAGGTTTCCAATCTCATCACTTAAATGAAAAGTTGTCTCCCAAGTCACTAATTTTCAGTTGATCTCTCAAACGCCAAATCTGACTTTTCTCAATCTTAGTCCTTTATGCTTTTCTATTAGCCTCCAACACTGTTGACCTCCCTCTTCTGGATAGGTTTTTGTGACATTATTCTGTCCTGGTCCTCCTGACCCTTTGATGAGTTTTCTCTATTACACCCACTAATAGCGTTTCCTAAGGTGTGGTCTCGAGACCTCTTCTCTCTTGGTGATCTCCTCAGCTCCAAGTTCAACGATCACCTCTATGAAGACAATTTTCAGATCTACACATTTACCCCTGAACTTTGTCCTGAGCTTCATTTCAAATGGGATGTATCACTGGCATCTCAAACTCAATAGAAAAAGGCTTCCTGCAGAAGGTGGTATCTGATTTAAGTCTTGAAGAAAGCCTCAAAAACTAAGGAAGCAGAGGTGAGAAGGGACAGCATTCCAGTATGGAGGAAGAGTCAGTGACAAGGCCTGGAGTCAGAAGATGAAGTATAGAGTACAAGGAAAAACAAGGAGGCCAGACTTACTTGATCATAGAGAATGTAGAGAGGGGTACAGTGTAAGAAGACTGGAAAGGCAAGCAGTGTATAAGGGGCTTTCTGTGCTAAATGGAGGATTTTATATTGGATCCTTGACATAACAAGGAGCCACTGCAGTTTTGATTATGCATGTGTGAGGAGGTGTGTGTGACACGGTCAGAGCTGGGTGTTTTGTTTTTTTTTTCCTCTTTGGTGAGGCAGTCGGGGTTAACTGACTTGCCTAGGGTCACACAGCTAGTAAATGTCAAGTGTCTGAGGTAAAATTTGAACTCAGGTCCTCCTGACTCCAAGGCTGTAGCTCTATCCACTACGCCACCTAGCTGCCCCTCAAAGCTGGGTTTTTAGGAAGGTCATTTTTGCATTACAGAGGATGGATAGATGCGGAGAGACACCTGAAGTAGGTCAATCAACAAGGCTACTGAAAGAGCCCAGGTGTGAGAAAGTGGAGGCCTGCACCAGATTGGTCCATGAGAGTGGAGACAAGAAATGATGTAAGGTGAACAGGATATAACTTGACAAAAGACTGGATACATGGGAAGAGTGTCAGGAGCAGAGGATCAAAGCAATTTTACTTCTAAACCTTTTTGCAATTCTGAGACAGACATGAAAAGACTTGGGGTAATCTAACTCTTGCTTGGGGAGGGGGGTAAAAGAGGAAAGAGAAATACTGAATAGATAGAGAGAGAAGGCAATTTCTTGGATGAGCCTGGGTGCTCCATGGGTGGAGATGCTTGCCCGTGACTGGTGTGGTTTAGCTCTCCCCACAGAGGGATAGCATCATTCTGAAGTCAACTTTAGAAACAGCAAAGCCAAGTCTTGCTGGGAACCTGTAGGTTTGGAAGAGCAAGATCTCCTTTGTCATTTTCAGATGCAACACTTCCTTCAAATCAGGACAAGATGGCCAAGACTTAAATCATTTAATTGGAATTAAGGATAGAAACAGGACTCAACATGTTTGGTTCCTAGTATAATAATACCATGCTCACTGGAGACCCATTTCTCAAAGGCCCAAAAGGACTGAGCAAATGCATCTCCCCAATTCCAGTCACTGGAATAGTATTTCCTCCCAACCCTCACTGGTCTATGCACAATAGAGTGGGTACCTCTTTGCTTTTCTTCTTCTTTTTCTTCTTCTCCTTAGAGGGGAGTTTGCTTTCCTTATCTGCAAGAAAAATAGGAAATGTTTGTCATGCTAGAACTTTTATTACTAGGAAAAGTTGCAAACTATGTCAGGTAGATCCCATCTTCTGCTGACAATGGCTCTGGAGCTGAGTCCCCACCTTTTAGGAAAAGTTTCCCAGATCATTAGCCCTGGAGGTAAAAGGGGAGAGAAGGTCTTAAGTTTCCCAATGGGTAAAATGAAGAGGTTAAACTCAAAAAAAAATTTTTTTTTGGGGCTAGGCAATAAGGTTAAGTGACTTGCCCAGGGTCACACAGCTAGTAAGTGTTATGTCTGAGGCTGGACTGCTAAACTCAATTTTTAAGGTATTTTCAAGCTCTGATAGTCTATGATTCTAAGATGCCCCAGAGAAAACTATCTACACGAACGTTTGTATCCACTACAAGGAAATCTAGGAGAGGTTGGCAGGCTGCCCAGAAATACGATTAGGTGTCTGCCATAAACTCCACACCTTGTCTTAGAGGTTCAACTCTGTGGGTTAGTCAATAAATAGCCTGTATTAAGTACCTGTGTCTGGAGATCAGGACTATACTGGAGATGGTAACCATAAAAAAATAAACATCATCCTTGTTTTGGAAAAATATGTAATTCAGTTCACTTCAATTCAGACTACATATCTCCAAGTCATGTTCACATCCCTGCCTCAATGATATTCTGCTGTACAGAATGCCTTCCTTTTCTCTGTTTAGTTTCATCCTTCAGGGATATCTTCCACAAAGTGTTGTCTGATTCTTCAAGCTTCTGGTGATCTATCAACTCTCAAATACAGTTTACAGTCCCTGAGATTCTAGCACCAGCACAGCTTATGAATGCCGTACTCATCTGGGTGCATCTAGTTCTTCCTTTCCTCCTCATGAGAATCTACAATGATTGTTGCGTATGTCTCCCCTCCTGTTGCAGGAACAGGGAAATCCATGTTCCCATATCATGCTGGGAAAGAAAGTGTGGGGAGGGGAGGAAAGATAGTTAACCCATTATGTAGCTAAAATATTAACTACATTTCAGATACCTTACAGGTTAAATAGGTTTTGTAACTGGTTTAGAAACCCAATCACCATTTACGAATATTTCTTTGGAATAATACAGAATTTTAAACAATTGATTGAGTTATGGTGCTTTTGGCACATTGGGAAGCCCTAATCTTATTCAATCATTCATTACTTTATAGTATTTTCTATTAAGTTTCTAAATGTCTTGCTTTCCCAATCAGTGTGATATAGCAGAAAGTGTTGGATCTGGAGTCAGAAGACATGGATTTGAATTCTAGATCTGCCAATTACTACTATATAACCATGGCCCACTTATTTTACCCCTTTATGCCAGTTTTCCCATCTGTAAAATGAGGCATTGGACTCGATGACCTCTAAGGCCCTTTTCCCAGCTCTAAATCTAGGATCCAATAATCCTCAAAGGTAGAAACTATTGAGACTGTCTCCTCCTTACCATTTTTGCACAAAGCTATGCAAACAATAAAACTTTGTTGGTTGGTTTATTCTCAGTATCCAGCCTCATAATGCTTTACCTGATAGGGAAAATCTGTGGCAAGAAAAGGCTCAATAACTTCCTCCAGGTCCCTCAGAAAGTAAGCCCTGGTGGCTCAGGTCTGTTTCAAGCCAGCTGGGATTTCTATTCTGAACATGATGCCAAAGGATGACTTGAAGGACCCATTAGTGATGAAATACGTCTGATGCCAACATTGATCTTGTCACTGTTCTTTATAACACTTGCTGAACTTTTGACAAGTAGTTGGTTCAGATGCTAACTCTATAATAGCTGGTCTTGGTCTGATGTACTGACCCAGATGTTTTAAAAAATCCCAACACAGTAGTAGAGCAAATAGCAGGCTTAATAAAGGATAAATAACCCACAGTCAATTAGTAAGCAGCCTACCACTCTTAAGGCTGAATACCCAATAAAATGGATATTAGATACTTGAAGCTTTTTGTTAGTTTTGAAACACTGAAAAAAGTACATTAAAAAAACACGTTAGCCTAGAATGATTTGAATGGTCAACTGCATGAGGCTGTGAAGCCCAATGCTTCTTAGTTACACTGTTAATGTCTATCTATGTTTCCCTTTTCTTCTTCAGGTAAAGAATGTGGTCAGTGCAAATGTAAAAGCAGCAATATGGGGATTAGTACCTTACAGACTGATAAACCTTAAAAGACTAAATGACAGAAATAAGACAAACCAGGAAGAAGAATTTCCAGTTTGCTATTTAGACAGTCATCTAAATAGCTGGCATTTTCAGAAATCAAGCTGCTAGACTGTCACCTGTCACCAGCTCAGATGCTTCCAAATATAGAATTAAGCCCCACCCTGTATTATGGGGGACCGTCTCTCAGACTTGGCTGCTGGGAATGTTAATAGGGGTGGGGAACCTGTGGCCTTCTAGGTGCTCAAGTGAGGCCCTTTGATTGAATCCAAACTTCACAGAACAAATCCCTTTAATAAAAGGATTTCTGTAAAACTTGGATTCAGTCAAAGGGCTGCACTTGAGGACGTAGAAGGCCACATGTGGCCTCAAGGCTGATGCCCCCCCCCCCCCCACCCCAACAGATGCTGCAGGTACAGATCCTAAGGAAAGTTATACTATCTCTTAGACTCTCCACTTTCTTCTTTCCTAATTCTATTTTTCAATGAAACCTATAATACTAAATGAATAACGTGTCATTAAGTCATACAATAAGTCATACAACATCCAAAAAATTAAATGCTGCAATAGTGAATAATTCCTGAAATTTCCTTGGAAGCTAAAGTCAAGAGAATGGCAACCCAACAACATCACAGCCATAATCCACTACTCAATGTTTTTGAAATGCTGCCTGGTGACGCAGCTTGGCTTTGGTGAGAAGTGACTTGATAACATGTATGCTAAGCACTTTACCTTCATCACTGCTTTCTTTAGGCCCAGTCTCTTCCAGACCCAAACCAAAGAGATCTGAGTCGTTTTTCATTTTAAAGGAGTGAATTGTAGGCTTAATGGGTTGAGGGAGCTTTGCAGGGGGCATGTCTTCATCTGTAACATCTGAGAGGTCCTCTCTCACTGGAAACTCTTCCTGATGAGACACAGAGAAAGAGAGAGAGAGAGAGAGAGAGAAAAGAATCAGACCCAGCTCAAAACCACAGTTTTCTCCAATAAAAGTTGTCAGCTCAAAGCCATAGCTTCCTCTAACAAGCACCTTCTCCAAGCAATACTGACAACTGCTAACATTTATAAAGTGATTTAAGTTCTGCAAAGCACTTTACATACATTATCTTATTTGATCCTTACAATAATCCCATGAGGAAAGTGCTACAGATATTCCTATCCCTATTTTACAGATAAAGACATATTAAACTTGGAGAGGTTGAGACATAACATGGTCACAAAGATAGTGTCAAGAGGCAGGATTCAAACCCAGAATTCCTGATTTCAGGTTCAGCATTCTTTTCATTACATTACTCTGCTTCTACAAGATTACATGTAATCATACACATGTACAAAAATATTTATAACAGCTTTTTTGTGGTAGCAAAGAATTGGAAATTAAGCAGATGCTCATCAACTGGGGAATGGCTGAACAAGTTGTGGTATGCTATTATTCCATAAGAAATGATGAGCAGGCAGATTTCAGAAAAACCTGGAATGACTTACATGAACAGATGCTGAGTGAAGTGAGCAGAACCAGAAGAACACTGTACACAGTAACAGCAACATTGTTCGACGACCAACTTTGATAGACTTAGCTTTTCTCAGCAATGCAAGGATCTAAGACAACTCCAAAAGACTCATGATGGAAAATGCTATCCACATCCAGAAAAAGAACTATGGATTCTGAATGCAGATCTAAGCATATTATTTGCTTGCTCTCTTTTTTTTTCTTCTTTCTTGTGGTTTCTCCCATTGGTTCTAATTTTCTTTATAACATGACTAATTTGAAAATATGTTTAATATGAATGTATATGTAGAGTCAAATTGCATGCTGTCTTGGGGAGGGGCAAGGAGGAGACAATTTAGAACTCAAAATCTTATGGAAGTGAATGCTGAAAGCTAAAAACAAATAAATGAATTTTAAAAAAAAGACTGCATGTAATCACAGGAAATTAAAGACAGGACTTATCATGTGGGAAAGAGTGTTCAATTTGGAGCCAGAAGATTTTGATTCAAATCCCGATTCTGTTACTTACTACCCTAGGTGTTCATGGGCAAGTTACTTAACCCCCTTTGACCTGTTTCTTCATCTATAAAACCAAGAGGGTGACATACAGGACCTATATATCTATGATCCCAGTTCTTCACATGTCCAACAATTCTTAGTGACCTCAGTATGCAGGTAGGATGGTATCTCCATGGCTGTACCAAGAGTGACAAAGGTTCTCCACTGTTTCCTGAATTGAGAGTCAAAAGGAAAGAGCATAGTGTATGGAGTCAGCACACCTGGATTTGATTCACTGCAAGGGAGATGTGGGTATGAAGATAGACCACTTCTCTTTAAGGTTAAGTTTCCTCATCTGTACAATGGGAATTATAATCCTTGTACTACCTACATCAGAGGTTTGTTGTGTAAAAGTACTTTGTAAACTCTAAATCATTTTATGGGAATGATTTTTTGAGGTTTGACTTCAATGTTTCTAAATTCAATTTTATTTTAAGTTCTGAATTGTCTCCCTCCCCTCTTTCCCACATCCATTGAGAAGGTAAGAAAAACAAAACTCAACACAAAAATGTATAAACATGAAAATAAATGCTCACACTAGTCATGTCAAAAAAGAAAAAGAAAAGAAAATATGCTTCAATCTGCTGAGTCCATCAGCTTTCTATCTTGAGGTGGACAGAATGTTTCATCATGAATCCTTTGGAATTGCAGTTGATCACTATGTTGATCAGAGTTCCCAAGTCTTTCAAAGCTGATTATCTTTAACAATATTGTTATTATTGTATAAATTATTCTCACTTCACTTTGCATTAGTTCTGAAACCATCTACTTCGTCATTTTTTACATCATAATGGTATTCCATCACAATCATATACCATAACTTGTTTAGCCATTCCCCAACTTTTTGGGCACAGTTCCAAATTGTTTTTCCAGATTAACCATTTCACAGCTTTACCCAACAGTGAATTAAAGTACCTGTTTTCCTATAGCCTCTCCAGCATTTGTCATTTTCCATTTCTGTCAATTTAGCCAATCTGATGGGTATGGAGTGGTACCTCAAGGTTGTTTTAATGAACATTTCTCTAATTATTAGTGATTCAGAGCATTTTTTCAATATGGCAATTGATAGCATGAATTTCTTCTTTTGAAAATGGTTCATTAACATCCTTTGACCATTTATCAACTGGGGAATAGTTCTTATTCTTACATATTTAATGCAGTTCCCTACAAGGTTAGAAGTGAGACCTTTATCAGAAAGACTTGCTTCTCTTAGTTGCACTGATTATATTTGTGTAAAAAAACTTTTTAATTTTATGTAATCAAAATTGTACATTTTACCTGCTGTTAACCTCTTTATTGCTTATTTGGTCACGAACTCTTCCCTTACTCATAGATCTGATGTGTAATTTCCATGGTCTTCTAATTTGATTATGATGTCACTCATCACCCATTTGGAGCTTATCTTGGTATCTGGTGTGAGATCTTAAAGTGTTTCTAAATGGACCCTTATTTACCTTTGTGAAGCAAGTATCAGCTCCATGTGGAACTTCTGAGTGTGATCTTGTCTATGTGACCAAGCATTTCTTCACAGTTAGCGCTCTGCAATCACTAAGCAACATGACACTCTAATGAAATACTAGAGGATCAAAGATTTTATGAAGGACCTGTCCAAGGTCATCTGGTAAATCAGTAAGAGAGTTCCAGTTTAGTTCTTCCATGAGTTTGCTGGGTATGCTAATAAGGTTCCCCTAGATCCAATGATTTTCTCACCAGTCATCCCTGTAAGATCCCCAGAATGCCAGAGCAGGAATAGGGGGGCTTACAACAATTTCCCCTCCTTTGGATAGTGGGAGATTTGTCTTTAAGAAACATGATCTTTAGGTATTTTTAGAGTCATATCTTACACAATTAAGGATCTGGGTATGACTCAAGTCAATAGGCTTGGACTCTTCTGGCTTAGAGGAAGATGGGTGAAGACTTACAGAGAGAGAGGAATGTCTCTGTAGCTTTCTGATCATGCATCTAGCTTTCCCACAGTTATACAGAGGGAAGTAAGGAAGAATCTTAGTGCTTGTCATATTATCAACCCGTATTTTCTTCTCTTTTACAGAATGGCCTAGGGCCAGGCATATCCCAGCAGAATTCCTTTCCTTTTTTGAGCTGTGGAGGGGAGACATGACTCTGAAATGGTCTTCCTGATTTCTGCCTGGAGGGCCCACTGCTGCAGTGCAGAGCTCCTAGTGCTTTATAACCCTCTCCTTCCTTCTGTTAATACAGATGCCCAGGATTCCCACTGGGGAGAGGAGAGCAGTGGTCCCTTCAGTGTGACGCAAGATAGTATGTGGCCAAGGTCAGAACCTGTCTCAGGCTGTGATACTCCCTCTGGGGCCCAGGGACACAGTGACTCACTCCCACTGCTCACTCTTCTAGGCTCCTTCTGGGGCAAGGTGGGGGAGGGGAATAGAAGATGAAACAAATGGGAGTGGGGTGAGAGCATTTAATTTACATTTCCTGTTGGGCATCTTTTTAGTCTGAAGATGCCTTATGGCAGAGACAACTCAGCAGACTTTTTTCAAAAGGACAAATGCCCCAAACTTACCCCATAACAAGGATGATGTCCTGCCAGGCTGGAATTAAAAAATCTGTTCTAGCTGACACAGTCTGCTGAACAGTAAATGCTTTGAATCACCCCAAGGAAGGAGGATAGATATTGAAAGTACACCTCTCTGAAGATTAAATGGGAATTAGGTTAAAAAAAGTCCATGCTATAATTTAGCCAATGATCTAGACTACATTGATGCAGACTTCTAGCTTCCCATGATAACTATCAATCTGTATTTCACACGCATCTTTCCCTTAAAAAGAGTACACTTTTGACCTTGTAAAGCTATTAATAACATGACCCTGCATTTTACATGGTATTTCAAAACTTTCTCATTCAACTTTCTCACCTGTTATTTCATTTTTCCTTACCCTCAAAGCCTTCCTGGACGATGCTGTGGTAAACAGGAATACTTCATTTCCATCCACTAATGGTAAAACTAAGACTTTGGGGATTTCTCAAAATTTCACAGTTAATCAGGGGCACAGCAGGATCTGGGACCCTGAAATTCTACCTCCTAGGCCAGGTTCTCATCAACAGATAATTGTGGTATAGAGACCAGCTATAAGCAAAGAGAGTAAGAAAAAGGCTGTTTTCATTACCACTTTCTTTTGAGTGTCAGACTCTTCACTCTCAAAATCAGGATCATCCATGACAAAGGACAGCATTTGAGCAGCAATGGGTCCTTCTGGATCACTTTCTGAGGACTCTCGTTTCTCATCTTTCACTTCTCTGAATTTAGAAGTGGAATCCTTGTTCTGAGAAACTGTTTTGGGTGCCTGGGATGGAGCTTCAGTGCCAAGCAGGGCTTCAGGAGTAGGTTTAGTGTTATTGCACTTCTCAGGTCCTGAACGAATGGGTAAACTAACTTGAAGTTTGGGGTCAGTGGCTTTGGTGGAAGTGGCTTCACTTTGTGGCTTCAAGGAATTTCTGGAAGACCTTGAAAAGGGAATGAAAAAATGGTTAGAGATCTTTAAATTATTATCATGGAAGCTTAAACATAGACCGTGCAACTTGGCAAAGAAGTCTCTGGTCCTATGGCTGGTATATGGTAAACTTCAGCTGGCTATAAATGTATCTTGCCCTGCTAGAGGGGGAAATGGCAAACTACATCATGTGTTAGAGCACGGTTAGCTTTAGGAGTATAGACAGACCCTTGGATATAGCTGAGTAGCAAGAGTACACCTGCTGGCATTCAAACAAAACCCCTTCTTTCTCTAGCCTCACACAGTATACTTTGTTCTGTATCTAATGTACCTATCATCCCTGTATTACACTTATCTGCATATCCAATGACAGTGTGATGCACTGAATAGAGTGCTGCTGGACTTGAGTAAAGACTTGGGTTCAAGTCCTACCCCTGATACTTATTTGCTATGTGATCCTGGGCAAGTCATCTAACCTCTCAATCTTAAATAGCTTCCATCTTTGGACTTATTGAATGAATTATAAATCCCATGGGAATTCTCTATGCTAATGAAATCACTGGTGGCTGCTGAGATCCCTTTCAAGCTTAGATATATGATCCTCTTAATTGTTACTGTAAATATATCACCTCTCCCTACTGGTCTCAAAGCTCCATGTAAGATGGGCCACGTGCTACATCTAAACTTTGCCCTCATACCCACTATCTACAATGGCCCACACAGAGGGGTTTAGAAAAATGTTTCTTTAAGTTAAACTACTCCTCTTCACCGCTTCTTGTCCCCGTCCCTGACATGTAGGGGAAAGATAATCTCTTTCCTCCTAGTATACTCACCATTTTGCCTCAGATTCCAAATTCTCTTGGGTGGTCAGACTAGTGAGTTGAGGGCAATCTGACACCTCATCAGCTTCATCCTCACTAGACAGGGTGATGTTTCTACTTGGGATGGGGCCTGCTGGCAAGGAAGATTTGCACGATGGCTTGTCTTCTAGGTCCAGGTCATCTTGGAAACCAGCTACCATGGGGTTTCCCCCAGTGACTTCCCCATCACTACACAGAGGACACAAATATTGCAGAGGAAGCTTTAATAAGTACAGCACAGAGCAACTGTCAATTAGCAATTTCTCTTTGCTACCCATCTTCTGGGTCCATAACCCAATCAGTACCTCCACCACGGTAGAAAGAAGGTAAATGAGGTTTTCAGCAGTTAGTATTTACTGTCACTTCTGGCACTTATAGGAGCAGGTAGAACAGAAAAAGGTATAGTCAGTTCTGCTATAATGTGTTTCAAAAATGAGAATTTGTTCCAACTTGATTGATATATTAGGAAACATTTTGGGCCTAACTTCTCAGTTATTCCTTCTGAGTAACTTCTTCCTCCAGAAACTTCTAGAATGCAGAAAATGGAGTCACTTCACAATAATTCACAAGTTGAAACCTTTCCAACACTTACTTCCACAAGCAAACTTCAGGTGTCTGTCAAGGTAAAGTGCCATGTTTAGTGCATATCTTCTGGTGTGGTAGGAGCTGTGGGCAGAGAAAGGCTGGTTTCACTCCTCACCCCTCAACTTTCTACCATGGCCTCTTGCCTGAGGCCGGGAGCTTCAGCCTGCCCTGTTGGAGGTCACTGACACAGCCACTATTTATGTATTTCTTAATCATTTAATGTGTATAAAACTATGCAACCATTTATTAGGTTATTTTTTTTAATGTGTCACTGATAAAATTTTTAAGTGTTGTGCCTCAACCCCATTTTCCCCACAAGCTCTGTGGTTTTTATTGCATGATGTTACATAGTGCAGTGTTTTTTGGGTGCATATATTGTGTTGTGGCAGAACTGTCTGTAGAAACTAGGGCTGAAGACAAGATTTCTTCTATATCCTACCAAGAGTTACTGATCTGATTGTAGAGGGGTGTTTTTCAGTGCCCTAGAGTAGCATTTAGTGAGTAAAAACTTCACAAGAACCACCTGCCTCAACCTCAGTGTTTCTATGAAATGGACAGAGTCAATGTTCCCCTAAGCCCTACCTCAAAAACATGCACTGGCCCAGGAAAAACCCTATTAATTGCCTTAAGTGAAATGAGAATACATGTCCTCACATAGCCTAAGAATCTCTAATCCTCTCTCGTCAGATTATTATCATGGTTTTGGAGACATTATAAAGGGAGATTGTGCAAGGGCTGCTTAATGTTCTTCCTTAAAAATTTTTTGTACTAGAAATTCTTTCCTCCTGTCTCCAAGAATGAAGTACAGGACTTTTTCAATTCTGAAGAGCTGCTCAGTTTATTAAGTAATTGTTTAAAACTACTTATTATTACACACTCTATGACAAATGGGAAACAGATGGTGTCTGGGAGCCGGGTCACCAATCTGAGAATAACCTGTCTTGGTGTCTCTCACTTTGAAATCCTTGTGTTGCGTTTTTGGCAAATCTGCCAGAGTAAGTTTCAGTCACAATATACTAGAGTTCAAAGTGCCTATCAGGCACTAAGCATTGGTGCCAAAACCTTTAGAGATACTTAATCATGGGACTCCCAACTAATGGTACTCTTCGGTACTCTAACATCTGACAGCATATCTTCCCCCAGCACTACCCTGCCTAAGTTTAATGCTCTTACCAGTTTAATATAAATTTGCCTCAAGTCCTTTCTTGAAGTTGAAAATCAAATCCCAAGATCCACGTTGCAAAGACATTAGATGTAAAATAGCCAGCATCATAGCTCTTTCCCCTCTGACTGGTCAAGGATTTAATAGTTTTGAACAAAGGCAGCTCTTACACTGAGAAAGCCAGCCTGCTAATGAGGATGCTGGCATTTGCAGAACCCACAGTGCTGAAGGAACACGTGGGAGCTAACGGGAAGTTTTTTTACTCCGAGAGAAGTAACAGGCAGAAAATTCATGAAGGAAATGAAGGCAGAGAATGGTGACTATGATTGTAGGCAAGAATCTGGAATAAATCCTAAATAACTACAGCTATTAAACTGGATGGAACTTTTACATCTAGACTAGTACAAAATCAGAAGCCTGATTAATCTAACATCTCTTACCTGTCACTTTCATGCTCAACTTTTGTTCTGATTTTCTTCTCATCCTTCATATTTGTATCTTCCAAGAAGCTCCTATCCAGGCTGTCTTCAGGAACAAAATCTTCAACACTCTGGACTTTTGCTGGTGCCTCTACCGAGTGGACAGGCTCTGCATGAAGTGCAGATACCCATAATTATTACCCCAATCTCATTTAAGAAACCAGGAGCTAAAAGTATATACCTGAGGATTTGATAACTCCAGGGAGGAAGCAAGGTTTGCCCTCTGTTGACAAAGACTGCCCTAGGGCTCATTCAGACTCTTCATGCAGGCTACTTTAAATATAGCCACCATTTTGAGCAAAGTGACCTCTACACAAACAAGTTAATGGAATAGCAAAGGCCTGACATGGGCTGTTCAAAAGACAAAGGGAATCTAAGGTATCCATTAGAAACTCTAGGAACTGAAAGGACCTCATGATTTCTGAAATCATCAAGTGATTTCTCAGCTGCTGGGTCACAAAATATCTGGTTCTAAGTAACTTAGGCTAGGTGATGGTGGAAGACCTCGATATATTCAACTGTACTAAGGCTGCTGTTTTATTGTGCCTGCTAAATATACATATCTCAAGGGTGCCCCAGGTATAGGAGACTCAATGTTTACCAGGAGGTGAAGGGGAAGCCTCTGAAGCTGGTGAGGTTCCAAAAAGCCTTGAAATGATGCTTCGACGCTGGGGCTGAGGTTGGGGTGGGGCTGGGGAAGTGGCAACAGTAACTGGAGAAGCTGCCTGGGTTTGTGCCTCGGATGGGGGCACAGGGGACACAGAAGGTGGAAGGGAGGGGCAGGTAGCAGAATTTGCAAGAAGCTGTTGAGGGGCTGGCTGAGGTGTGCTGGGGCTGGAGCTCCCTGTGGATGTTGTGCTGGGAGGCACGACAGGTGACTGAGAACCAGAGGAGGGACTCTGTCCATTGGCTGTTAATGGAGACGCATGTCCTCGACTTCTTGCTTCCATCATCTCCAGAAAACTGAAATACAGTAAGTCAAGGAAATGAGAAAATGGCAACAACAATAATGATTGAAATTTATAGAGTACTTTAAAGTTCGCAAAGCACTTTACGTTCTCTTTTTTTGATCCCTGTAACCTTGTGAGATAGATACTAGTGATATCATCATTTTATAAATGAGGCTCAGAAAGGTTAAATTCATACACTTTTAGGATCACCCATTTAGTAAGTATCAAAAGCAAGTTCCAAACTCAGGTCTTTCTGATTCAAGGGGTATTGTCCACTTTGGGAACCTACAGTCCACATGAACATTTGGAGTGGAGATGTCTCTAAACTTGCACATCTCATGTTTCTTTTGAGGTACTGCAATTCTGCCTCGCTCACAGAGCACAGCACCTTCTTTGACACAGGCATGCCGTGCTGGGCAGTCCCGTGCCAGTGTCTCCCACGTCTCACAATAGATTCCGAAGTTCTTCAGAGAGACCTTGAGAGTGCCCTTGTATTGCTTCTTCTGACCTTCATGTGAGCCTTAGCCTTGTGTGAATTCTCTGTAAAAACTCTTTTAGGCAAATGCACATCTGGCATTCAAACAATGTGGCTAGTCCATTAGAGTTGCACTCCCTGTAGTAGCATTTGAATGCTTGGCATTTTAGCCTGAAAAAGGATTTCAGTGTCCAGCACAAGAAAAAGATAATAAATGACCTGTATCCTCAGAGAGTAACCCAAGTAACATAGGGGAGAAAGTGTAGAGTGAGGAGGGCCCAGAACAATGTTTTGGAAGGCGTCCATACTTGGGGATGGCAGGCCATGATAATGATCCAGGCAAAGGAGATCAAGGTCTGTGGATTTTCTGAAAAGAACCTGCCTAACCCTGTGGAATCAGGTAGGAGTAGAAACAAAAAAGAACAGTTCCACATGCAAAACCAAGAGAAGACAGAATATCCAAAAGGAGGGGGTATTCAAGAGTGGAAAAAGCTGCAGAAAAAGTCAAGTAGGACAAAGACAGATAAAAGATAGATAAAAGATAAGACAAAGATAGATAAAAGGCTATCAGACTCAGTAGTTAGGAGTGAAAGTTTCACAGAACCTTTTAGAGAATAGTTTCAGTAGAATGGTAACCTTACAAGGCATATTACAAGGTGTGGAAGGCAAAATGTAGAGTTTTTCTTCCACAGACAGATTGAGTAGTGAATGGAAATTGGAGGCAAGTAGAGATGATGGTGGTGTGCATTTATTCTTATATTTTCAAGAGTACAACAGCAGGAGTGAAGGTGGACATGGCAGGTAACCTAGGGTTTGGCAAAAATGGGAATATGGGAAAGGGGCAAGGGATTCAGTGGATAATAGCTGAGCTGGTCAATTAAAGACAGTGAAGAGAATTAAGGGAGGCTAGAACAGGGGTGATAGGCTGAGAGAACAGGGAGGGGTGAACTGATTATAAGTTGAGTATAAAAGAGTAGTTCAGGGTGAGACAGAGCAGGAGGTTAATATCAATGTTCAAGCTCCTGGGGGTAGCATAGTTATATGTGATGGTAAGATCTAAGGTATGAGCCTCCATATGGGTGAAGATATGGGTCAAGGAAGTTGAGAACACTGATTAGGAGGTTGGGTATTTGGGGGACATTATTATGTATTAAGTATAAAGATGAGGTTGGAGGGGAAAGGAAGGTATTTCAGTTATTGTAAAAACAGTCTTTTTTTTTTTTTTGGCGAGGCAATTGGGGTTGAGTGACTTGCCCAGGGTCACACAGCTAGTAAGTGTCAAGTGTCTGGCCTGAGACCAGATTTGAACTTGGTCCTCCTGACTCCAGAGTTGGTGCTCTATCCTCTGTGCCACTTAGCTACCCCCCAATTATGTTTTAATCTGGTTTGATACCTCTGATCTAAAATACTAAGTAGGCAAATTGTCAATGTTAGCTCTGGCATCAGTTAGGGAAGTTATTTTGAAAGCTGCTAAGCTCTTTAGAGAACTCTGTATTGGTACTCCTATTGGTATAATTATGGAAGGCAGCTAGACATCTCTGAAAAGAAGCTGCTAATCTCTCAGAACAGTGTGAGCAAATGGCCAATCAACTCTTTAGGGAGTTTCATGGCAAAAAACTGGCATATTTGCTACGCATTTCTGAAAAATGATAGCAAATGGGAAATCATGAGAAATCAACACATTCTCACTATTTAGAAGTCCTAGAGAAAAAAATACAAACTAAACTAATATAAATGAACAGTTTTCATTCTATGGATTAGTTCTTATTAAATATAACATCTATCTTGCTATAATATTCATTTTAGAAGGGCTTTAAGCTGGATAGGCTCAAAATAAATTCAATGAAAAAGGCTACATGGAGATGTGAGAAGTGAGCCTTTATTTTATTTGCCCAGCCTTGGAAAGGTTCTGTAAAAGATGGGATCTGAGAAATATACAAGGGGAAAGCTAGGTAGTGCAGTGGATAGAGCACTGGCCCTGGATTCAGGAGGACCTGAGTTCAAATCCGGCCTCAGACACATAACACTTACTAGCTGTGTGACCCTGGGCAAGTCACTTAACCCCATTGCCTAGCCAAAAAAAAGAGAAAGAAATATACAGAAAAAGAGGAAGTGAAGTGTGTTCAGCAGGTGTACAGGAATGGAAGAGCAAACAGTTTATGGCAGTGAGGAGAAGACTGAACTATTCATACACAGATAGGAAGACAATAGTATCAGTGGATTAAACCATGTATTCTCAGGTAATGTTAATGTTCAGGTTATGTTAAGTTATAGTTTATTTCTTGATTTAAAAAAAAAATACTTATTCGCTATAACTCTACTAGATCCCGTGTGTCAGTAACATGTGCTACAGTTAATTAGTAACAGTCCTGTGCTGGACATTATAAAGGTATACTAAAGGAAAGAGAAGAGAGAATTTCTGCTCTTGAAAAGTTTGTAATCTTAGCAGAGAAGAGAGGAAGGGGGGATGCATACAGGCTCAGGCAGGAGTGCTCAAATTTTTACTGGGAGTACACCAGCATTTGGGCCAAGGATTAGAGAATCAGCTGTTTTATGAGTTTTGGGGGATGCGTATGTAAAGGACTATTTTTTTTTTTTGAGGCAGTTGGGGTTAAATGACTTGGCCAGGGTCACACAGCTAGTAAGCGTAAGGACTATTCTTTAAGACTATTTTCCTATATATAACATTGGACAAGACCTGTCTCCTGTCTTAGGGATGGACTGGGCATTAATCGATTGTTTTTTGACTATTCCGAAGTCAAATCATGCACAGACAGCTGCTCTTCAACCAGACTGTCAGGCTGAAGAAGGTATGGTAGTATCCACAAAAAAGCATGACAATCATTATTACAGCTACATTTTTGAGGGAAAGGGAAAAGTTAAGGGGAGGGATGTTTGATCTAGAGGTCATAGTATAGTCCTGGTGGGAGCCAAAGCTCTGTACTCCCTGGCTATGGGATTCTGGATAAATCTTTGCGTACAGTTTCTGCTATTTGTTAATAAATGGTTTTTGGGAAACTTAACAAGACTAGTCATGTAAAATTTTAAGTGTTTTCCAGAAAGTTGCTTTACTTATTTACTGTTATTCTCAGGATATGAGTAAAAACAGCACAATTGTGCAGACCTTTCTAGAATGTGGTTCACAGACTGTAGTGCTAGCCAGAAATCATAAAACTATTTGGTATTCAATCAAAGGATATTTAAAGGAAGTCTTGAATTTCAAGGCTGATGGTAAAGCCAGGAAGAGATATAGAGAGGACTAACTATTTTCACTTTACTCTTTTCTTCCTCTTGGAGAACAGCTAGTTAAACCTTTATTTCCCTCACCTAGGCTACGCTGGGGATCTATCTAAATTGGACACTTTAGAACAATCTTTTCTGTAGCTACCAAAGCTCAAATTCCTGCTCTCACCCAAGTCATTTAATCTCTTGCAGTTTTTAGACACTATCAGCCAAATCTGGTACCAGAAAGGTTTTAAGAGGCAATTAGTTAGGTTAAATTTGCAGATTTCCTCAAAAGGCAGGCAATCCTGTTGGATAGTAACCTGAGAAAAGTATGGGCAATCTAGGCATGAAAATCTTCAACCGACAATTTCCTAAATAAACTAACGTTGCTCCATGGATTTAGCATATACAGACAGGGATACTTGTCAGTCACCACTCAGCAATCTCAAGATCCCTTTGTTACCTGGTCAAGTTTTGGGCAGGTCCAAATTTCCAAAATCGTAAATATTAGTTGTCAAACATCCCTACTAATTCAAATTCCATTCTAGCCCATTCTAGTTGGAGAGATAATTTGTGTTGGTAATTAAATACTAAGTGCTATCTTCATCACTTCATGGCCATTCAAAGGAACTATTGGTTTTTTAATTTTCTAATTAAATTTTATTTCATTTTCAGAGTGGCATCCCCCTGCCCCCCCAATCCTTGTTACAGACATGCACAATCAAGCAAAACAAATTCCCACATTGGCCATGTCTGGAAAAAAAAAAAAAAGGTCTCCATGTATATTCTGAGTCTATCACCTATCAGGATGTGGGTACCAAGTTTCATCCTGAGGTCTCTGGAATCATGATTGGTCATTGTGTTGATCAGAGTTCCTAAGCCTTTCAAACTTGCTTGTCAAAGGACCTATTTGTTAAGTGACTCACATCTATATTAGGCTTTATGCTTTTAACACCATTTTTATATCTTTTACCTTCATTTGATCTTCATAAAGAAGGGATCAATAAGTGGACAGCAGACAACAAAAGAAAACTTAGAAGGAAGCACAGAAAAGCAGAGTAAATTGAAAACATTGTACAGTATTTATTACATAGGTTTTTTTTTTTTAAAGTAAACAGTCTGAAATGGAAATTCAGGTTTTTATATTGAATCCTCACTTCATGTTGTGCAATGTACATGGAAATGTTTTTTTTTTGGTCTTTTTGTATTTAAGTTAAAAATGAATACAGAATTTAAAAAAGAAAAAAAAGAAGGGATAGAAAAGTATAAAACACTGGTGACTGGCTGTGATTAGCTAATAAGCAGCAGAAAGTATATTTTCTTACGCTGGGAGAGCATAAGGAAGTATAAACCCCAAGGTAATCGGAGATCCCTTCATTAGCCTTGATAGGCCACAAAGTTTAGCTTTTGAAAGACCTAGATGCACTGAAATCTCTATGAAAATCAATTTTGACAAAAATAAAACAAATCCACAAATGTTGAATTAACATCTTCTTTTAAAATTTATATAAATTAATATAACCATAAATTAATAAAATAAAAATAACCATAAATTAATACATGTGGGAAATGTCCCATAAATGGGCAGTCTGACAGAATGTTTCCCTAGCAAGTATTAATGACAGTAGAATGTATATTCCTTAAAGGAAAGGATTATATTTCTTTTTTGTTTTTACATCACTTGGGGCTAGCACAGTGCCTTCCATGTAACAGGAGCTTAACAAATACTCGTTGAATTGAATTTACTAACAACTGAAAACTTTACTGGATAGTTAAGACACTTAGGTTGTATCTCTAGTTGACTTCCTCCTTTTCCGGAATAATGGTTGATAAACATATAATCATCTCCTGGATGAAATGATTCAAGTCAGTAAAACTATACCACAATTCACTAGTGACCAAACAGGACCAAATGTGTGACAATAAGAACGGTAAAATGTGTGAATATTAGCTGTTGTCCTTTTCAAAAAAAAACCCAAAAAAACAAAAAAACTGCTCAGAGACTGTGTCGTCATTATTACTTCACAAGTTGTTATTGGATCATATATTTAGAGCTGGAAAGGTCTTTGGAGATCATCTAGTTCAATAGTTCTCAGAGTGGTTAAGTGACTTATCCATGATCAACACAGAGAAGGGATTTGAACCCAGGCTTAACGACACCAAATTCAACATTCTATCTGCTGCACCACGCTGTTTGGTGTAAAATGCTTTGTAAACCTTAAAATACTTTATATCAGTTATTACTATTATTACTAAATGAATACAGATCAAGTGGTCTTGAATTTTGGCAGTGTAATTTTTTTCTAGTCAACTCAAATGCTAAGTGAAAATCTAGTTTTAAGAATCTTTGTGATTCCTTAACATTTGACCTTCAAGCAGTTTGTCTCTGTCTTCTTTCTAAGGAACCCTCACAAGTAACTATGGGAGATTGGAGCCTTGGTTCAGGTACACTAAAAGAGCTAGATATTCTTTTTCCAAGATAGGGTATGTTACATTTAAAGTTTAATTTGTTTCCTTTTAAGAAAACAGGAAGCTAGAGAAGAGTTTATTTTACTTTAAATATTTTATTGCACATTAATAATTAAAAAAAGAACAACAACAGCTAAATATACTGGGAGTAACTAGGTGGCACAGTAGATAGAGTGCTGGGCTTGAAGGAAGACTCATCTACCTGAGTTCAAATCTGGCCTCAGACACTTGCTAGCTGTGTGACCCTGGGCAAGTGACTTAGCCCTGTTTGTCTCAGTTTCTCATTTGTAAAATGAGCTGGAGAAGGAAATGCAAACCCATTCCAGTATCTTTGTCAAGAAAACCCCAAATGGGGTCACGAAGAGTCAGACATGATTGAAACAACTGAACGACAACAAACATAAAACAACAAAAAGGGCATTTTTCACACTGATCAAGATTGTTCTAATCAGAAAATTCTCAGACTGTGCACTTGAGTTCTCTGTGTGCAGGTATTTTGTTTCTGACTATTAGAAGACATGAAGTATTTAACTACAAGACCTATCATTATTCATGTCAACTGGTGTCAATGATTTTTTACCCAAAGGCAGCACACATGTTAAGAAAAAAGGGTGTAGATACATTAATTTTTCTTAGATGGCTGCTAGATAGCCTTAAAACACACACTGAAATGGTAATTCTCTGGGACCCTAACCTGGAAGAGCAGGAAGGGTAGGAAAAGAGAGACATCAGTGATATAGAGCTTTTAAGATCCCATCAAACTCTAGAAATGAAGTTTGGCTGACATACATTTCGTAGTTTTGGTCTTCAGTCTCTTGCTGCACTGACAGCTCTTCCAATGTGGCATCGATGTCTAGCTGATTAGTCTCTAGCTGCCGTAGCAATGTCTCTCTCTGAAGAAAGAGAAATAAAGATAGGTTTGAGTAGGAAAGGTTACTGAAATGGAACTCCATGTGTTCTTCATCAGCCCAAGTGTCACCACTTTCCCCAGGTTTAATGAATTAAACAGCAGATGAGTAGAGCTGGTAATGCAAGAACACACTGAAAATCCAGGATAGGATAATAGAGTATTTAATTCACTGCCATCACAAAGGGATGCTTCCTCACCTCTGAAATAAGGAACTTGGGCCAAAGGCTGCCTTCTGTTTAGCACAAAGGAACACTGTTTTAATGTAGGCCACAGAGCACAACTCTAGCCTATCTGGAGGTTAATCTCACTAAGGTCGATGTCCCATTAAACTGCCATGACATCTACACCACTTTTTCTTCATGAGGAAAAAGGAAGTACAACATGTGATCATGATGCTCTCCTTCAGTGGAGCAGTACCTGGAAGCAAACTGGGTTTAAGTAAGTGGAACCTAAATGTCTGGAATACATACAATCTAAGTTTGAGTTTTTAGTCCCTCAACTCCAGGGATCAGATTTCCTAGGCAGCTTCAGAGCTAATAAGAACCTGTCCATCAACAATTCCATTCAGCACAAATACTAAGATGCAAGAGGAAATAGAATATGCTTTAAATCAGAAAGATGTAGTTCATTTCTAACTTCCCTGTTTTTCTTTTCTTTTTTTTGGAGGGGGGTGGGGGGAGGTGAGGCAATTGGGGTTAAGTGATTTGCCCAGGGTCACACAGCTAGTAAGTATAAAACGTTGACACTGGATTTGAACTCAGGTCCTCCTGCCTCCAGGGCCGGTGCTCTATCCACTGCACCACCTAGCTGCCCCACTTCCTTGTATTTCTTCAGAGAAGACCTAAAGATGTGTTTCAGTTCATGTTCAAATAACCTAGCAGTATACAAACCTATCTGTAAAGGAGGGATGTCATTTTCTGTTTGAAATGATCCAAAGGACAAGGAAAATGAAAGGCCTATAAAGTCAAATCCAGTCTGTCTGGTGGAAAAGTTTAGTATTAATCAATCAATCAATAAACATATACTAAGCACCTACTGTAAGCTAGGCACTGTGCTAAGCACTGAGGATACAAAAAGAGGCAAAAAATCCCTGCCCTCAAGAAGCTTATATTTTAATGGGGAAGACAATATGCAAACAAATATGCAAACCAAGTTATATACAGGATAAATAGGAAATAATTTTAACAGAGGGAAGGCATTAGAATTAAGAGGGGTTGGGGTCAAGAGATGGAACAGTAAGAAAGCCAGTGTCCCTGGAACATAAGAATATATAGAGGGAAGTAAAGAGTAAGAAGACTGGAAAGGCAGGAAAGGGGTAGGCTGTGAAAGATTTTACAAGTCAAACAGAGTTTTGTATTTGATCATGGATGTAACAGGGATTTATTGGAATTTACTGAGTTGGGAGGAGTGGTGTCAACGGCACGATCAGACCTGTATTTTTGGAAGATTACTTTGGCAACTGACTAGATGATGGACTGCAGTGGAAAGAGATGAGGCAGGGAGACCAATAGGAAGGCTCATGGAATAGTCCAGGAGTGAAGAGATGAAGGCTTGCACCAGGAATTGTGACAAATGTCAGAGAAGAGAAGAAGGCATTATTTGAATGATATTGTGGAGACAGAATTGACAGGACTTGACACACATGTGTCGAGATAAGAGTGAGAAGTCAAGGACTTCTAGTGTGTGATCCTGGGTGAATGGGAAGATAGTGCTGCCCTCAACAGTAACAAAGAAGTTGGGAAGAAAGGATAATTTGCAGGGAAAGTTTTGGACGTGTTAAATTTAAGATGCCTGCAGGATGTCCAGTCTGAGATGTCCTAGAGATGTGAAACTAGAAGTTAGACCTGGAAAAGTAGATGTGAGAATTATTTGCATAGAGATAATTTAATCCAAGGGAGATGATGATCTTATCAATTGAGATAGCATAGAGGGAAAATAGAAAAGTGTCCAGGATGGACCCTTGTTTTTTCAGGCATGACCTGGATGAAAATACAGCATAGGAAATTGAGAAGGATGGTCAGACAGGAAGTCTACACATGTACAAACACACTGTTATAAATTCTACTGAAGTGCTATAGAAAGTTCAAATGTTTACCTGAAAACCAAACAATGTTTGCCCTCTAATTCAATAAAGCTAAAGAATGTTTGTTCTAAGTGTTTTGGCTTTGTGCCTCCTTTACTGTCAGAACTCAAACACCTGAGCAGGCAATTGGCTAAAACTGTACAACATTGTGCTACTTTAGACTTAAAATGGAGCTTAAGTCACAGCTGCAATTGTTCATAAACATAATCAAGATGGAAAACCTAGGAATCTTCGATGAACAGAAATGAATTTTCTGTTGTTCCAAAAATTTTCCTGACTATGGGGGCTGCAACAAAAGGTTATAAAATGATCTGGACTCCTTTAATATTCAACAGGACAAGCAGGATCAGGGGATAAAAGTTTAAGTCTAAAGAGATCAACAAATAAACTTCTGCAATGAGTTGAGAAAAAAACTAAATGAATTGTGAGATACTGGAGGTCGAAGAGGTTATTGTATTTTTTTTTTGAAGAGGTTATTTTAGAAACTGAATATTCAAATATTATATAAAGAGTGCTTTTCATTTTTTGGGGGGGGGCATTGTTCAGAGAGGGAAGAGATAAGGCATTGAGCTAATGGGATAATTGCTACGAATTTTAAGGAACTTAGATATTTATTGATTTAACTAGAGTAAACTAAACGTGCAGAATCCTAGTACCTTTTTTTTTTTTTAATTTAAAAACAGGACGGAAGTGAGCACTTTAATTTTTCCCAAAGCAAACTCTATTCCCCTGTTGAGAAGAATGTAACAGTCAATATATACTTGTGCTTATGTTAGATTTTAAAATTCTACTGTTCATCAGTCATTGTTAAACACTATTTCAAAGCCCACTGATAATTTCCTCCTTTTCTAAACCAACTGCAGAGCTGGGTTTTACATAGCCAAGTTTTTTTGAAGAATAGCTTAGCTGCTCCCCCTATTGCTTCAAGTGGGATGTAGTTTTCTAGAATTTAACAGCTAGGCCTAGCACACAGAGCCATTATTCGTGGACCACTTTTGGTCATAAAGCTAGTCTCTGAAAATTCCATAAGAAAATCCCTTCATACTCGCCTCGTTTCATTTTTAAGATTTAGCTGCTGCAAGATTAGGAATTCAGAAATGGGAAGGGGCTGCAAGCAAGAGTTTAAAATATCAGGGTATGCTCATGTTGCAGACTTCATTTAATAATTGCTTAAGGAGCCAAAGTAGATGCCTAGTTGAATTAACTAAATATTAAATTAATGCTATCTGCTACTTTTAATCCCTGTGAGCAGCTCAGTAGGGCTTGGTAAAGAGAGGAGCAGAGAGGCTGACTTAAAAGTGGCATCCTAAATGCACCTCTTTGAGAAGAGCCCAAACACATGGCAAACAGGTACAGCAGCAGTTGGCAGGACGAATTTTTATGGAGAGTCACAAGAGAGTATAGTTCTATTTGAGAACAAGGAGGTAGAGAAAGCAAAGGAATTGCTCCAGTGACCTGGTGAGTTTGTCGTATGTTTTCCTGCAAAAGACAACCACTAACTACATTGTTTATTAAACGAAAGATTACTTCTTTGCTTTGCTTGAGAAAATTAAAGAGCTTGAGTAACAATTATATTTGTCCCAGAATATTAGTAAGGATGAAAATTTACTTTTGTTGTTGTTGAGTCATTTTTCAGTTGTGTCCAACTCTGTTGGCAAAGATACTGAAGTGGGTTTGCCATTTTCTTCTCTAGTTCATTTTATAGATGAGGAACTGAGGCAAACAGGGCTAAGTGACTTGCCCAAGGTCATACAGCTAGTAAGTGTCTGAAGCCGGATTTGAACTTAGAAGGATGAGTCTTCCCGATCTCAGGCCCAGCACTCTACTGTGCCACCTAGCTGCCCCAAAGATTTACTAGACAGTATTAGAATAAATAATTTATGAAGGAGGAAGACAGGCAGTAAAAGATTCCAAGATGCACTGGAACACTGAAGCTAGGTTCAGGAAGCTGACAGTAGAACATAACATAGAGAAGGCATTAGAATTTTATTTGTAGAGGGTGAATCTACAGTTTTTTTTTTTTTTTGAAGAACTAATAGCTTTCCATAAGGTGGATCCACAAGTTCTTAGTGGATTTGAAGAAATCTCTTCATAGAATTAAACAATATTAGAATTGGAAAGGACCTCAGAAGTTATCTAAAACCAAATTATTAGTAATTGGAGGAAGGAACAGGTTGTGGTGGCTAGTGACCACTTGCTGAAAGGTACAGAAATGGCTGGTCATGTGTACTTTTTTTTCCTTTTTTTTTTTTTTAAGGCAATTGGGGTTAAGTGACTTGCCTAGGGTCACACAGCTAGTAAGTGTCAAGTGTTTGGTCTGAGACTGGATTTGAACTCAGGAACTCCTCATTTCAGGGCCAGTGCTCTATCCACTGTACCACCTGGCTGCCTCTCATCATATGTACTTTTGTTGAAGCATGAATCTGAAAACATGTAAAAATGGTGAGATTAGGACAAAATTCAGCAAGGCATTTGACAAAGTCTCCCATTATAGTCTTGTGGACAAAATGAAGAAGAAATGCAGGTTGGATGATAGTACCATTTAAAGGAATTCTTAGCTAGTTCAATGTCAATCTGGAAAGTGTCTTTAGTTGAATTCTGCAGGGTATGGTCTTTGGCCAAATTCAACAGTGTTATCAATGACTTTAAAATACTGATAGCAGTCTTATAAAATTTCAGAACATAAAATTGAGAGAGATGATAAATTTTTGGAAGACAAAAATCAGGATTCAAAAAGTGTTAAATAAGATCCAGTGATGGGCCATATCTGTCAAGACAAAATATAAATAAATAGATAGCCTTGCACCTAAGGTTAAAGAAAATAAGCTTCACAGGTACATAACAGGAAAATGTGACTTGTTGGTAGTTAATGTGAAAAGAATTTTTAGTTAACAATAAAC